ATTTATTTAAGAAAAGTTAAGGTCATTACAGAATTCCTAAAATTCCTTAATTTAATTATAGCCATTTAAAAATTTTCTCATTTTACAAAATTGTTACTTGGTTTATGACAACTAATTGTTTGGTGTAAAGTGAATCGAACTATTTCACTTGCCTCACATAAATGGACAATACTTTTTTTTATGTTAATTTTTTAAATTATGCCCAAGGTGCTAATTTGATTAATGTGCTTAAAAAACTGATAAGGCATATAAGCTCTACTTAAGCTGAAAATACCATCATCGTGCATCATTACCATTTTAATATCTGTTTGTGTATTACATTTTAAATGTATATTCATATATAAAAACTGGCGCCTAGTTTTGTATAAGTAATTTTAAAACTTAGATTAGTGTATAACTGTGTCATTAACTTTGTAAGGGTGAGATTTTGATGAGTTTACAGAATATATTCACATCTTAGTCATTTAGCTATTTATTTATCAATTAATATTTATTTCTTCACATTACTTTGAATTTTTATAATCTAATTGTGCTGCGACAAAATAATGGCAAATTATTTATGCTTTCTTGAGCTCACAAATAATGAAGTATTAATATAATTTATTTGATTTCATTTATGGATGGAAATAGCTTATATATTTAAATATGAATAATTTTGGAACTTACACCAAATCTTGCTAAAGACAAAGATTTTGACATCAAGCTTTATTAGCTTATAAGAATATAAAAGTATTGGTTCAACTTAACATATAAATCTCATTAGTAAAATAAAATAGCATTGCTTTTGGAAATCAAATATTTTATAATTGTATAACCCTTTAGAATTAATTGCTTTTGATTTATTTTTATTATGTGTTGTTTTAAATTGATTAATTTATCAAGCATAAATTATTAATCACAGTTTGATATATACTTTTTGGGTGCAATTTTTTAAGAGGTTTCATCAACATCCAGGAAATTCAGTAAACACATCAAGGCTGCAAAGTAAAGACTGGTATTGCTGCACTACATATTTCAATATTTTATAATCCTGTAAGTAGTGTAAGTTAAGATAAAGTAGTTAATGAAGCTTGCTCCTGCAAATGAAATAGTTCAAACATTTTTAAAATGCTAAAGTTACAACCTTAATTAAAATGGTAAAAATGTGTTAAGATAAAAAATATCTGTATTATTTTGTGAACACAGCATTGGTTATTTGACACTAAGCATGTTAATTTTTTGTTAGAACTAAATAATGGGACATTAAAAACTTTGTATGAAATAAATGCCTTTTTTAATTTGTAGTTTCTTTTTCATGTTGTATAAAACTTAAGTTCAGTGCTCTCTAAGACCTTTTTATTGAAAAAATATTGGTATGGTTAATTTTGTAAAATTCATACATGGCTATATAGTTTAATTGAGTGGTCCTTGCTCCCAAAAATCTATTTTACTTAAATATTAGTTTTTACTAAAAGTGAACCATCCATTATTAAAATCCTTATTTCTTTAATAATGGAAAGTGATCAGAAAACTCACAAATTTGGAATCACCACATACTAGATACAAAGTAAATTTATTTACAATTTTTGCATTTGCATTTAATTTTTTATGTTATGTTATTGCATTATATAAATTTACCATATTAGTTTGTTTCAGTTTGCTACTTAAAATAGATGGGGGGAACAATGAATACATTTTTCGTAAGGAAAACAAGTGAGATTAATGTAACTCTTTAAATAAAAACAACCAGAACCATTGTCCTGCTTTCTTGCTATTTTGAATGTTGCTAAGAATTTTTTCATTTAACCCACGTATTGCCTCACTCAGATGACAGGAAGCAATAAATAGATCTGATACACCCTGTTGTTAAATTTCAGGAGGTCAGTAATATGTTGTCACCATATTATTATTATTGCAGGTGGTCATGAACCTCCATTTCCATTAGATTTAGATGCTCAAAACTTATTTTTAAGGATTCGTTCATGATGCCCTAATATTATATTTATAATTTTTAGAAGTTTTTCTAACTGATCCAATTAGTTTGTCATTACCTTATTGTTTAACGCCTTGGATATAAAATAAAAATACTTTTTCCACAGAAATATAGCAATTAAAACTATTTAAAGAACCAAGCAGTGATGACAAATTAAGAAAATAACATAAAAAGGCTAGTTTTAGTGCCAATGTCAGTCTGTACTTGAATGTAAACAGTGCATGATAATTTGATATGAGATGTGTTAAAAACAATTTAAATTAAGATGGCAACTATTGTTTACTAAAGTGTAAAACAAGTAAAGTCTTAAAATAAATTTAAAAAATAAACTTTTTTTTTTTAATTTGCACTTTTAATTTTTTATACCTACTCACTGATCACCAAAGCAAAGACTTTTAAAATAAGCTCATATTTGAACTTGATGAGAAGATTTTCCTATCAATGTGTCTTTTAATTTTTCAAATGTTAGTGTACGTTAAATGAAAAAAAACCAAGATAACTAATTATTAAATTATTAGTGTTTAAGTTCTGCTTATCCAACTTTAGGCAACTCTCATTATTTACACATTTAAAAAAAGATAACCTATTTAAATATTTATGTTTATTATTACGGGTTTTTAATATTTTATTTTAAAAAATTTTTTTTTTGCTTTGTTGAGTTTTAAAAAATACTACTTCATGAAATCTTTTCAATCAGAAAGCTTTTCAAGCATCTATTGTTAAAAGGTTTAAAGACTTAATTTCTCTCAAAGTGTAAATTAAACTTTTCCCAGGAAAAATGTAAAATTACAGCAATATCTTTTTGTTAATGCCTTTAATATGCAAGCTGACAATTATTTTACAATTCTATTTATTTTTCAACTTCATTTTCTTTTCCAATGCTAGTCATTTTTAATTAGGAGAGGAAAGCTTAGTGTTCTAAGCTTAATATTAATATCTGATAGGAAAAATGAAGTTTGTCATTCACCATTAGTTATTGAAATGTAATTGATATATCAGTTAGGTATAACTACAGTCAAGTCATTTCTTCTTTCAAATAAGAGCACTTTGTTTTATCTGCTTATCTTGAATACATGTTTTACTATGTTTTTTATAGAATTTTTTCTGTACATAAAGTAAATTTGCATGACAATCAATCATGTTGCTGTGTATGATATCGTACATCTTTTGGTGCATATCACTCACTGTAACACAAATGCATATGTCTCACAGTTATGGTTGTTGGTTTTGTTTTTCTTGTATTCCGAACTGCTACATAATCATGGCCATCGCTGGTCGATGGTGTTCATTTATTCATGATTTTAAATATTTGTGTACTTATTGGCTTAATAACAGCGAGATGAAAATTAAGCTACTTTGCATGTCTCTTTTTTTAGCATAACAAGACTTCACTAGAGTGAAGATAAAAATTTAGAATCTTTTTACAAGATCGACTCGGATGCATACCTTAAAATGTGAGAAACAGCTAGTGTCTCAATTTTAATGAATTTAAATTTCGAAAGAGTTGCATAGGGTATTTAGTATAACTTTCAATAATTTAGAGATAAAAAGTTATAACATCGATTCTCTTTAACTTTTGAAACCTCCAAAAAAGATTGCTTTTCTTAGTTAAGTTACAGGATGGTGTGTTTTTGGGTAGAAAGGCTTATATAATAATAAAATGGAAAGTTGAAAATGAGTTCATATCTTAAGTTCATACATTTTAGGCAGTCTTTAACTTGGCTCTATCTTACCACTTTATGAAATATGTACTCCAAACTAAATAAGTGGCATTTTTAAAAATAATTTACAAAGAAAAAATTTCAAATTTACTTTCAAATATTTTCTATTGATCCCAGTTTGATTAATATGGTATTGCATCATAGATTATAAATATTTATTATCTTCAAAAAACATTATCAATATATTGCCGCCATGTAAAAACATGATTCTTTTTATTGTTTAAAATGATTTCTAACATGAACTTGCATTATTTATTTTTTTAAAATCTTTTTCAGTAAATTAATTTTTTAATTATTGTAAGCCTTCTTATTTCCTTTGGTTCTATCAAGGAGTTCAAATGTCATTGCTGTGGCAGAACTTTCATCATAAAAGATTCATACATTGTTTGGAACAGACAATTGTCACTAACAAAACCTATTTGACATGCTTGTCTCATATTTATGCTGTATATGTCATTAAAGGGCTATTTTATTATTAAAAAAAGACTATTATTCTACTTGCAAATCTATAGGATTTGTCTGTAACTGTGTGGCATAGTTTTTTTTTTGTCACATGACCCTTTCGCTCACTTAAACACTTAAACATTGTTGATGTGCCTGCTTTGTTCATTGAACAGCAGGAGAAGGGTGGGAAGGGGAGCTAAGATGAAAGTTGTAGGATTTTCTGGTGGGGTGGTTCGGAAGGGGTTAGGGGCAAGAGCATACAGCAATTAAACTCTGAACAATGGACAGCTCGCAACCAGGGTTTATAAAATCTATTTTTTAGTTTTATGCCTAGGTAAAGAGTTATGTCCCTTTAACCTGGATTTGTAAGCATTTGTAGTTTAAAAAAGTAAATAATTTTACTATTGTTGATCATTTAAAGAATTACAATTTTAATACTAAAAAGTAGAAAATAAAATATATATATAAAAAAAAAAAAAGACTCCCATCAAAGACAAATTTAAACGCACACTAAAAAGTAGCAAATAATTTAAAGTTGCTTAAATTTCAATACCCAAAGAAAGTCTGTGCCTAATAACATTTTCTTTAATTACAATTAAAAAATTTAAATTTCATCTACATCTAATTCAAATCAATTGGCTACAAAAGTGCTTTTCTACACTCGGGCACGGAGGTTTTTTTTTGCATCTAGCATTTTAATAAATTTAAATTAATTTTCTACTTTTTAGCGGATTTGAAGTCTCGTCTTTTAAAATATTGTTTTATTAATTTGTTGGTATTAGATATTCTTTTTAAACAAATAAAAAAGAGAGAGCAAGACAGTTTATAATTAATGTTTATATGGTGTTTATGCTATTTTTGGCAATATTAAACAATTGAAGATTTTCACTTGTTCATTCGTTTTATTTCTTCTTTTTTTTTTTTGTTACTTGATTTATGTTTCGTTTTGCCTTCTTTCAAAAATAGGTAGCGTCTTAAAATACAAATATTTATGTGGTTTTTTTTAAATGCACAAATATCATAAACATAAAAATCAAAATAGTTACATGTTACTATAAATCAATTAGCAATAGCAAGCTAATACATGTGAATATTGTTTGAATCCCTTTTTTTATTAGATTTTACCTAGTTTAGTTTAGACTTTGTGTTCGCAATATTCTGAAACAATGTAAATCATTAGAACTTAAGTTTACCCATCAAAATATAATGGTTGAAAAGATGAGAGGGGTGGGGGAGTTGTGATTATAAAGTATTTTTAAAGAAATCATCCACCTAAAGCAAACAAACAAAAGTCCTACGTCTAGAACAATTTTAACAGGAAGTCTACAGAATAAACCCAAAAAAACTTTTGCGGCAAAACAAAACAATAACTTGATAAATTGTGTACAATTTATAAGCACAAGAGACTTCTCTTTACATATTAAACCCATGCAAAGGAAGCAGATTGAAATAAATAATTTAAGGATCCTTAAAAAGAAACTAATACATAATGTCTTTTTTATTCAGAAATAATGCAGGGTCTTTATAATATATTCAACTTATAAAAGAATCTCTGAAGCAAATTATCTCTATAAAAACTAATCATTATAAGGATATGTTCTTAAAATGATGTGATCACATTTTAACAGGTTTATTTTCAACTACAACATGATAGTTATTTCTTGGTTAATAATTCCTTGTATAATTCTAAGGCTTTAGTGTCCCTTTTCTCTTTTGCATCATCCATCAGAGCCTGTGAATGAGTATTAACAAAATGAGTATAAGTATTGTCAGCAACAAAATGGAGTTCATATCATCAACAAGCTTATCTCAATCTTAAATGTCCTTAATGTGTCTCTTCATATTGGGAATAAACAAAATTGTTTATGCAGTCAAATATGAAAATAAATTACAAAAGCTATCTCAAAAGTCTTTCTTTTAAAAACTATTTAGGTAGGGAATGAAAAAGAAACTCCCTTCATTATTAGAATTTTAAAATGTGCCATAAAAAATATAGTTAAAAAATAATTAGATCAACTATTATATTCAATTTAAATATTAATTCAATGCCTCAACATTTGCAAGGTAACTTACAGATAATAACTTCTGGTCACCCTCTTTAGCTGAGTCCCATAAAAGTTTGACAAGCCACTGCCTGACCAAGGAGCTACAGTAACCAATCTCTCTGTCTGGATCAACTTGATCTAATGCTGTAGCAAAAAAGTATTTAGCACGCCTGAAGAGAACAGAAATTGTTAAAAATTTATTAGAGAAAATTTTTGCAAAAATATTATTTTGAAAATTTTCAAACTTTCATATTAAAAGAATGAACATGGATAAATATATTAAAAGTTGATTTTTAAATACAATATACAATAGAATTTCTTATTGATCCTAAACAAATTAAAATAAATTTTTACAGATTCACTTTCAGCATGTTAAATAATAACAGAGACAAATTATTCTGATTAACCTAACAATTTTAAACTGAGGCCAATATCATGAAACAATATCAAAATAATTGTTCAAACACAAAAACAAGCCATCCCATGTTCTCAAACTGCACTCTATAATGTCTATACTGAATTTTTTTTTTTTTTTAAGTATTACAAATGCATTTTTTTTAAAAATTCATCTTGCATTGATAGCTCTATTTTTGTTTCTTTCTTGATGAGTCTCAGGGATGGTGTTAATGAGAGGCTTATGAGTTCCTACACACTTTAATCAAGTGAAAAACATTTTGTTTTGGAGGGACTTTAATTATTTGCATTAACCATGCCATAATAAAATATTTATAATGATATAAAGATTATAAAAATAGGAATTACATAAAATATTTGAGATAATCAGCAGGCAATTATTAGAAATCACATGTTTTTTAAGAAACTTCATACTTCATATATTTAGATATTATGATAAAGAAATATTCACTTGACAAAAATCATACTTTTTATCATCAGCACTAAGGGCTCTGATGGCCCCTATCACAGAAATTATTGGTGATTTCAACTCCTGACTATTCAGACTTTGTGCTTCTTCAAGGGTCTGTTGAAAATTTGAGTCATCTGGTATTTCCTGTAAAAAAAAGTTTATTAAGTTTATGTTTCAATTACTTAGTCCATTAAATGTTAATTAGTAGAGTTTCTAAAATAATGATATACAATACATCAATAAACTAAAGAGCTAATTCTTTGAGTTCATTATCATAATTATTGTTGCAAAATTTACCTTAAAAATTGAGAGTAAAAGGCATAAATAATAAAACTAACCTGGAGACCACAAAATACAGCATGTGATATTCTTTCCCAATAAAATCTATAGAAAATAATTTAAGAAAGAGAACAATGTTAATAAAATACAGAATTTATCATGAATTTTTAAATCCCCTGAATAATTTATTTGCTTTTAAATATTTGTTGCCTTAAGCTACATATAGATATACTGCCAATTCTTTTTTTAGGTAGCTAAAATATATAATGTCCTGTACTTTTGTAACTGTGTAAGATACAACATTTCCAAGCAAATAAAGCATTGCTTAAGGTTGTTTTGACTTGCACTTACAAGACAAGAGCCCCATGGTCCGTATTTTTTAAATTTGAAACAAATTTCTAAGCCATATTAAATGTTTGTTTTTCCCATTTCTGGTACAACCTCATAATTGAATACGATTGAATACAATACATTATTATTGCTGCATAGCAACAGGTGATATGAAACTTACCCATTTGGTACAGCATTTGAAGATAACATTTTCATTGTCTTTAAACATTCATCAAATCGTTTATGTTTGTAACACAAAGCATAGTTCACCTGAACAGAATATTTTGCAATACGTTTTAAAAATTCAAAAGTATACATAAATTATTAAATCACATGTTTTTATGTCTCATTTTGTCTGAAAAAAATGTGGCTTAAGTACTTAAAATTTTATTTTTAAAATAATGATTGCATTTTTTTTAAAGTTCAATCCTACATGATGAAGTAAAGAGAAGATTAACTTTATTGCTTCAAATTCATTTATATTTGCTTCAATCTTATGTGTATCTATGACAGGGGTTGGCAAAGTATGGGCCTTATCCAGCGCACCATCTCTTTTTATAGAACCCCTGAGCTAAAAAAAAAAAGCATTTTACGTTTTACACTACTTTACGACTGTTAGCACTTGTAGTACACCACTTGAAGATATCCACTGTGATGTCAAGCAATTCACTTTATACTAATAAATCTTATGTTTATCTATGACAGGGGTTGGCAAAGGATGGGCCTTATCCAGCGCACCATCTCTTTTTATAGAACCCCTGAGCTAAAAAAAAAAAAAAAGCATTTTACGTTTTACACTACTTTACGACTGTTAGCACTTGTAGTACACCACTTGAAGATATCCACTGTGATGTCAAGCAATTCACTTTATACTAATATTTAAACCCACCTACCAAATATTGACTCCTTTACACCAATCCCTCACTAATACACAATTAAAACCCCCTTCCCCACTTTTTGTGACATCTGGCCAGTGTATTGGCAGTAATAATGTTTATTTACATGACACCTTGTGATGCTAAAAAAGTGACTACCATCTCCCCGCCCCCTAGCTTTTCTTTATTGTGGCAATGCATTGCTGGCATTTTCAACCACCAACATGAACATTTTGACAACCCCTACTTAAGTAAGTTTGCTTCTTGATTGGCAGAGCTTGAAATATTCACAATTTGCCCCTTTGAAATCAAAATTTGCCAACCCCTGATCAATGGGAACAACAAATATTGAAATAGTTTATATTAACTAAACTTAACAAGAATATCTTAAATGAATAAAACACCAAAAAAAATTAAGAAACAATCTAGTTCAAGATGATTCTTAAAACAAAATAAAGTAAAAATACTTATTGATGTGTATTACTACAGATAGACAAATATGTTTATCTTTCCTACATTTCAAATAAAACTTTAAAAAAAGAAAACCCCAGAAATAATGTATTTATTTGATTGAAAATGCCTACCAGGATTTGAAGTCTTGAATAGATACTGTGATTTGTTGTTTCCCCTGTGCCAGTTTGTGATGTGAGACAGGAGGTGATGGCCTTGACAAACAACTCTTCATCTTTAGACTGAAAATAACAAACAAAAATAATACAGAATCTATCATCTCGACAACATGGAAGGGTAAGATTATTGATCAGCAAAAAATGGTTTGAAGAAAATTAAGAGCAAAACTACCAGGCAACTTTCAATCGTAAGTTTTAAAGATGTAACAGAAATTCCTTAAAATATTTTCCTGGGGTGCATACACAAGATAGTCCTTTTTATAAGCAGCCATGCTGTGCAATTGTAGAGTTGTCTATCTCACACCCAGAAGAAGAAGCTGGTTTGAAATCATTTAAGGTTTCCTAGCTACTGAGATATACTATGCTGATATGGATATCTCAGCCCAACAGCCAACCTGTGAGTGGAATTAAACAGTGGTATCCTGACACACATACACACACACAAATGGGTGTCAATGGAGTAAAAAATGTGTTGTTTTTTTCAGTTATATTTAAAAGATTCAAGCACATTGGTTTACTGGCACAGAAAGAATACAGACACAATTCCATATAAACTCACCAAAGTTTTCTTGTCCTGGAACTTGGACAAAAATGACTGGGCTGATTTGGCATCACACAACTCAATAGAGTTAATGATAAGCATTTGCAGACACCATGAATTAAGTTCAGGAGTGAGGTCTAAATAGGAGATTAAATTTTTAAAGTTAAATACATTAAAAAATAAATTAGACAAAAATTAAAATTTTAGCCAAAATTTTAAAAATTAGACAAAAATAAATAATTCATATATTTCAATTCCAAAAAGTATAATAAATTATACTTCAGTGTTTGCGGTGATAAATGCTAAGCAGACTGAAGTTTTTGCACAAAATTAAAGCAACTATTTGAATCTTATTTTATTTCAGATTTATATTAAAAGTAATATATATAATGTTGTGTTCTTGTTTCTTACCCTTCTCTAGTAGGAGTTCTAGAAAACCTTTCTCAACTTTAAACAGCTGATCATCGCCTTTCAGCGCTTTTCTTATCACTGCTTCAGCATAAGTACCACAAGCCAGAACACTCAATGATGAAAGACAACCTAAAATTAATAAATAAAAGAAACTATGTCGAATGCTGGTGAAGATCAAGCTTGTTAAGCCAAGGAGCGTAAAATGTTAACAATATTCAAAGTGCATGTTAACTAACGTTCTGTCTATTCACTTTCATTTTAGTAATTATTTTCATTCCCTACGTACAATGTACTTTCTATGACTAAATTGGTCAAATAAGTATAAAAACCTCAAGTCATTTGAAGGGATCTCTGTTTGTCTGTATGGGTCGTTATTTTTGTAAATTCTAATGATCCATTATAATACTGTCATAATTCAAAACTAACAATATAAAAAAACCAAAGAGATAATAAAATGAAATAGTATTTGGTATTAGGTGTGGATAAATCAAACCTTCTCAAAGAAACATTTCAATAAAAATTGAGGATAATTCTAATATTGAAAGAAACAATATTTGTTTGTTTATTAACACTGATCGAACCTGGATTTGTATGGAAAGCCCTTTGTGCAGTTTTGAAGGCATTTTTGTTACTTTGTAATCTGTGATGGAATCCCAGCAACAGCTGACCCAGACTCTTGAAAAGTTGCTAATAAAACATTGACAGTTAACAAATAATTGATAATATATAACATTAATAAATAAAAGTTATAAATATAAACGTTTTAATACAAAATTTATTATAAAATAATAAACTAATAACAATGAATTCTTCTCAAGTAAATACATTGAGGCGTCACATAGGATATAAGCAATATAAATTCATTCTTTCATTCTATCAGCCTGCACTTAGGCAACGGCAAAGGATTGCCAGTTCTGTCTATCGGCTACTTCTGGGGTAGCTATCAGCAGGTTCAGGATTCAGCATATCCTTTTCAGTTGTTCTGTGCCAGGTTTCTTGAGTTATTTGGTTCTGCAGTTTCAATTTTCGCTGGCTTTTCTAACTCAGTTTTGTGCTGGGAACTGAGCTTACTGGCATTCTAATAACATGACCAAGCTTTCTCAGCTGAAATGCCTGTACTTTTACTGACTGAGCTTACTGGCATTCTAATAACATGACCAAGCTTTCTCCGCTGAAATGCCTGTACTGTTACTGCAATAGTTATCAGTCATCATCAACATCTCAGTTCCTTATTGGCCAGAAGATTCTATGGATCCTTCAGGGCTTTAGCCGTGAAAACTTCAAGCCTCTGTGCTGATATGCTAGCGGTCTTCCAGCTTCTGTGCTGATATGCTAGCCGTCTTCCAGCTTCTGTACTGATATGCTAGTGCTCTTCCAGCTTGTTGTGACCTTTCTAGGTACTAAAACTGTCACATCTTCCAGTAGGCTTTGTTCAAGGTAATTGTGTTCTCCACTCTAGAATTTTTTCACATGACCTGTTTTTTTTACTTTTTGACTTCAACACTTTATGTCCATAAGATGCCAAACAGCATCCATATAACATAGCAACACAAAAAATGATTCATTAATAATCTCCCCTTTGCTCTGCAAGCATTTTCACATGTTTACATCACTCATTCACAAATGAGAGGATCACAACTTTTAAATAAAAATAGCTTGTTTAAAGAACAATTTTTTAAAAATTTTGAGTTATTTACATTGATCATTAAAATTTTTGTTAAAAATGGATTGATGATGAATGCGATAGAATTTTAGATGCAATTTGACGTATTTCACAGGTTGCTAGCTGTAGTAATACAGAGTCCTGTATTTAAATTAACGAAGTAAAATAAACTTCATCCAACTTGACAAAGTTATTGAATTTTACCACCTTGGTACCTTATTTTTCCCTGTACCAGAGAGAAAAATCATGTGTATGGAATGTTTTTTTTTACTCTGTGCACTATGTGAAAATAAAGTGTTAAAGCCTAACGTAATGGCAGTTTCAACTAGTCTCTTTGTCTTCTCCAGGATATCTTCATCCTTTCCAGACAGATATCATATCTCATTGAAGCATAATGAGCGTCCTTTTTGTCACAGCGATTGTATTTGACCACACGTAAGTTCAAATCAAATAATTATTTTTTTTGTTAAATGTGATTTCAAATATGATGAAAATCAATGCTGAAAAAGGGATTCCACATAAATAACCACAGAATTCAAAATGTATGGACAAGATGAAATAACTGATTTTCTCTAATAGCAGCCAAAAAAAAAATTACAAGGCACCTGTGTTTTACTTTCACCTAGACTTAGTGAAGTAAGTGCAGCATCAACAGCTTTTGAGTAATCTACGCTCTTAGCAAGTTCAAGCGTCACATTCCAAAGCAAAGAACAAACTGCCTCATTTTCTGGGTTGGCTTTAACTACTTCCTGAAGCTGAGTTAATCCTACTTCTTTGTCATCCTGTGGATCAACATTTGGTACACATGTGAATAAGAATTTTGTAATAGCACACATGTGAATAAAGATCTTGTAATCATGCACAGGGGAATAAAGATCTTATAATATTACATATATAAATAAAGATCTTGTAATAGTGTGTCCATAAATAAAGATATAATAATATTTATGCAAATAAAGATCTTGTAAAAGTACACACATTAAAGATTTTGTATTAGTACACAAGTAAATAAAGATTTTGTAATAATACACAAGTAAATTAAGATAAATGTAATATTACATAATTAAAGAAAGATATAATAGTACACATGTCGTGGATAAAGATCTTGTAATAGTACACATGTGAATATATATATAGTAATAATACACATGTAAATAAAGAACGTGTAGTAATACATATGTAAATAAAGATCATGTAACAGCTAATTTTCTAAAATTTTAATTAATAAAAATACATTAAAATGAATATTAAATTTATAATGAACACAATGAATAAATGAATCAGTTCATTCAAATCAAAGGAGAATGTAAATAAAAATAATTAAAAAAGTAAAGATTTTTTTAAAAATAACTAATAGAGATGCAATAGTGCCTCTTGCAGGATTATATCAAATGTGCTCATGTGTTGACTGATTTATTTACTATTTGATGTGTTAAAAATTAGACAATTTACCTCTAACAAAAACTTATACATCTGCAGCAAACTGATATCCTTCAAGAATTTGTCTTTATCTTCTTGCTTTAATAATTCTTGTAAGGCAGCCGTAGTTAATGTCATGTCCTCTTGAAGCAGGCCAAGTGCACATAGAGCCAGCAGACCATGAATAGAAGGGGGGTCAGTCTGAAATCTAAATAAAAAGGAAAAATAACAAAGTCTTTAATTATTATTTATATTTATTTGTTTCTTTAAGCTCACTTGTGTTATAAGATTTTTGTGTAAGAACTTATTCCTGGCTTCATTTATGTGGTTTTATCAGATTTAAACATTTATATCAACCTGATCTCAAACAACTCATTAAACTATTTTAACATTTACATCAACCTGTTCTCAAAGAACTCATTAAACCAGTGTTTCCCAACCTTTTTTGTGCCATGCTCAACCTTTGTAATATATATATATATATATATAATTTTCAAGATTCATAAAATGAATTGTTCACTGAATTCAAGTAAAATGAAAGGATTTTTCTAAAATATTTTAATTGCTTTTTATTTCATTTATTATTCGTTATTTAATCATTTTAAAATACAATCAGAGATCACAAATATATTGTGAGATGACTAATTTAGTGAGAAATGTGCCTTTGATGCTTGCTGCACAGAGATTTTATGTTAGGTTCCAATTTAGATAGTTTCAGACTCAAGTCTCCCCAGCTGTGTTTTATCAAGCAAATTTCTTTTTTTTTTAGCAGCAAATCACTTATGGCACTAAATCCACATTCAGCTAAATATGAAGATGGAAACTGTAACAATACTTGTCTTGCACACATTTGGTTGATTTTGGATAGTTGATTTCTGTTTCCTTACAAAGCAATGGCATCGCTCATTTTATATTAAATTTTCCTAAAAAAAATCTTTCTTCTAAATCAGCTGACAAAATTTTTAGATGATCTACAATAAAAGTAGAGCTGTATCAGTCACTTCACATTTTTTGAGCCAATGAAACTTTTCAAAATTTTGTTACAAAGATATTTCTGATATAATTCAATAACTGCAGTGAAACCAAATATCTTCACTTTTGCACAGGGAAGAGTTTTATTTGCTCCTTGAAGTTGGCTATTTAATATATTTAATTTTTCAAAGATATCGGCTATACAACTCACAAATGCTTTACTATCAACTGTTAACAAGTAAATCATTTCAGGTTTCTCTCTTTAAAAATTGCCAAGAATATCAAATAGTTCCATAAATATTTCAAGCAGTTTCCTTTTGAAAGCCACCTTACTTCATGGTCTGCATTTTGTGCTTGAAAGGACGCTCACAATTGGCGTTAGCTTTAATAGCATTGATACACTGTAGAATTGAATTTAGTGATGCTTTCTAATGATTTATTGAACAACATTTTTTAAAGCAAAGTCTCCTTTATCAATATATCTTTCGTAATTTCGAATTTCCCCGTTAACAATTTAACTGCGCCCCACGTTGGGAAACACTGCATCAAACTATTTTAAAAAATGACTAACAATCATCTTTTGTAAAAAAAAATATTTTTTTTTTAAAATGTGTTTGATGTTAGGCAATTTGAATTTTTTTTTTTATTCAATACCTATACTTTTAGAATATTAAAATAAATAAACCAGCAGAGTTGCTTGCGGATGCAATAATTGCTTTATCAGAACATCAGGTTACATAATTATATCATAAAATTTGATTTAAGTTGTTCAATGTATTATCTACCCTTTAAACAGCTGGGACTTTGCCTCGTTGATGTCCCCAATCTTGTAAGCAACCATCCCTAAAGCTGCATAAACCTGTGACATTGCAGGTTTGCCTTCAACCATTGTAAGGACTTCTCCATACACTGAAAACAAGCACAGAATTATAACAACAGCTTCCCCATTCAAATTAACCCATGACCCCAAAATGGTTCAGTGATTTTAAGTTTTTTGTTTTGTCTATTTTCTCCACATCCTTTGAGGCGGTTGAAATTTAGCACCCTTGAGTAAAGGTGGCTCTTACAGGTCAAATCCCAGAATGTATTTTTATCTAAGCAGCTGAAGGAAGACTTCTTCTTCCTTACAACCATAAAGCTGAGAAATAATTTTGTTTGATTTTTCTTTTAGAAAATCAGTTAAATAGCTACTAATTGCCTGAAGAAAATGGAAAAAAGTATCTATCTTCTTTAACAGTTAATATATCCGGCAAAATGTACATTTAGCCTTTAAAAAAAAAAAGTCTAACAGTTTTTTAAACAAATGCAGTGGAACCACATTATAACACGCATTGGATATAACGTTGTTGTGGAATGGCTCCTGAAATTTCATATATTTATTCATACATGAATTGCTATTCAAAGGAATACGCAAAACACCACAGTAATGCGACACCGCTTTTAATGCAATCCGATTTTATGGCCCCAATTACTATAACAGATTTTCAATTTAATAAAGATTAACTGAAATACTACTTTCTTTAAATTGTTGAAACCATAAATTATAAAGTTAAATGAACAACCTACCTTTAAAAGCTTCTATCAGCTTCCCAGATTTGAATAAGGCAAGTCCATATAAACACAAGTTTTCTACATCTGAACTCAAGCTGCACTGCTCAAACAGAGAAACTGATTCCTCATATTGGCCAAGTTTGCTTTAAGAAAAAGTCAGTTTATAATTTAGGCATCCATTTTTTGGTACGAACTTCCTAATACAAATTATTCACAAGTATCCAAGAGCAAATTAAGGATTTGAAATACTTTTTAAAGAACAAAAATATACCTATAATCAACAATAATAAAATAATAATAAAATTTGTAAAGAGTAACAAAAATTCAATGTGCTGCAGATTTAATTAAAGAATGTTTCTCACCTTAGGACTCTAGCCAGGTTTTTTCTTACAGACTCCCTTATAGTTGGTTGATCTGCTACCTCAAGAGCTCTATAAAATAAAAAGATGATCAAATTGTAATTTATCCAATTCTCCCCTGGACATTAGCTTAAATAACAAAGAATATTTCAAATAAATTCCTAAGTTATTAAATTTAAATGCATTTCTTTAATTTAACATACATCCTGCTTATTGTTTAGTAAAATATGTTTTTAAGATCATTAGCATAGAATTTCAATCACATCACAATCTTTTTAATACATTAAAATTACATCCTTCCTTTACTAGAACAATTAATCTTTAAAGTTACTTTTGCAGTGCTGTCACAGCTGACTTCAGGAGATTCCCATGCTCAAATAAAAGACCTTGCATATTGTAAGCCACGGGATCAGTCTTCACTCTGCCTAATAAAAGTTACATGAAATCTAGGTTAGATTTTTAAATATTTAAACATTCATTATAAAAAAAAAATCTTAATGCAAAAAAATCTTTTAAAATGTTTTTAACATTATAGGCATTATAAGAGACGAAGAATTTCTGTTTGAGTATAACAGAATGATAAAGACAGATGATGGCCAAATTGAAAGGTCAAGTATAGTTGAGTATGCTTACAGGTATATCTGGAAAGGGCATCAATTGCTGCTGGAACAGCTGCCATCTGCTGTATGCAGTACTGGTAAAATTCAGTGTCTCTCTTGCTGGAATCACCCAAAACACTTAACACCCAATGGCCATAGCCAAGAGCACTTTCCACCTAGTCAAAATAAATTGCCATTATTTTTTAGAACATGTATAAAAAAAACAGCTTGTTAGAGAACAAGGTTATAAAAATAAAGCAAATATTTTATTAAACAGAAAAGTAACGTATGAAAGCATGAGTTGTATACTTGACATTATTCAGAGATGAAACAGGTAATAGTTTGAAAGGCTTTGAATGCAAGATGTAATGTGCCTTATTTAGTCAAGTAATGCTAGAAAGAAACTAAACTTTATAAAATGTGGTGTGTTTAAAAAGGACTTACATGAAATCCCAACTCTGTAGTGTGACGGAATAAATCCATTGCCTCTTCAGAGTCAACAATCTCTGCTATCATAGCCTGAATATTGAGAAATGAAACATTGATTTTGCAAAATTAACAAAAATTCCAATTCTTGCAGTTTAATAATCTGATAATCTTTGATAAAAATTATAGGGAATTTTATTTTCTATATTCAACTTTCAGGTTTTTGGATTCCGGGTACTGAGGTGGCTTAAAAGTTCATGATGGAAAGTTTATACAGATATATATATATTATGACATAATACAAAAGTTAAAACAAATAAATTAGAAAGTCATTTCTTCACTATTTTACCTGACCAATCCAAGAAGCCATGTATGTTGGGTCAACGCTCTGTGCAGTTTTAAAGGCATTATGGGCCAACTGTAAAGAAAATAAATTTATAAATTGATGATTGAATTAATAAGAAATAATCAAATAATAAAATTATGCAGTAAAGTTTTTTTGTTCCAGAATAAAAAAATATTTTGCATTACATTAACCCTCCAACTGTGGCATGCATCATTCTGTGGTGTGGAACTTTTCAGAGCTTTTTAAGTGCCATTTGAAATTGCATTAAATGACATAGAAATATTGATACAAGACCCCGATAAGTATATATTTTTAGTTCTCAAAAAAAAAAATCTACAAAATGTCTTGCTTTCAAGTGCTCATAACATCATTAATTTTTTTGATACACCTAAAACACAATCTAAATGTTGTAGCCAATTCATTTATCTATCAGAAAATGTATAGTTTGCTAAGGTTTTGATTGCAATTACACATCTGAAAGCAATTATAGGTCATTTATATAAGAAACAGGGACCACTGCTAAAACCAAGTACAAAATACAAAATCTCAGGCAAAATAATTATTATTGACTAGTAAACATTTAAAAAGGAACTGTGGAACTGATTTCGTTTGTTTAACTTTACAATTTATTAGTTCTGAACTATAATCTGTAGCTTCTGTGACTAAAATTTAGTCAGTCCTTGCTCAACCTCGGTGCCTGGCTCGAAGTCAAACAGTAGCCTCAGTAGGCCTACTTCAGTATCACTAACACTAGTATCAGATTCACGAAAAGAAGAATCTGAAGTGAGATGTCATGGGGAATGTTAAAATCATCATCAGTATCACTTAAATCCTCTCCAAAAAGCTTTCAAAAATATTTATATTAGTTCTCGCACTGAAGGCCCTGCCATAGCTTCCGCCATTTTTGCTTTAAAAAGTACTTATTGTTAAGTCTAAGTTATCAAGAAACAGCTTGACCCAGAAGTTGATTTAGTTATTAACAAAAGGAAATGGCTACAATTTCTGTTAAATATTGGATTGGAAGTTGCTATAGGACCGTGTTTTTTATCGGCCACCACAGCACAGAATGAGAATGTCTGCCGATTTCGTCTGCCGACCACAGTTTGAGGGTTAAAAAAAGACATGCAGGTAGCATAATGAGTTTTAAATCATGAAATAAATAACTTGTCTTATGACATAATAAAGGCTTTACCGTTTACAAAATAGTTTACCACAAAAGTAAGTATTAATTTAAATATTGTCATCAAATAAAATAAGATAAATGTAAATGTATTATTTATTACCAGTAAATTGTAAATTTTCATTTTCAGGAAAGAAATAAATAAAAATTTTAATTAAGACATTTTACAATTATAACAATTTAAACACAAGACATCTAAAGTATTTCTCTAGCGTAGAAATCAGCCGTCAGTTAACTCCTTTAGTGACAATAATGACTTAATAAGGGATCATTTAGATTTCGCAAAAGCTGGGGAAGCACTCTGGTAAATTTGTACAGTCTGGGGAACAAAAGAATTTTATATCTTTTGGTCCTAACTTCACAGGAAAGAATTTGCCTTGACAGAGATGATCTTAGGTATATGTGATGAAGAGGGCAGGAGGTATCATCTAAAAAAATTTTTTAGTTTTACAACAGCATTTTGCTACAAATAGTTATTCAAGTGAAGGATGTTTAGTTTAGTTTGATATTACTAGCCTTCTTCATTAGTCTATGCAATCGGTTTTTGATGTCAGACAATGAATTCTCATTGCTTACAGGTAATAATGAAGTTTAGTAGGCTTTCAATTGTTGCAGTGTAGAATAAGTTAATAACTTTTTTTTTAAAGCCAAAATTGTTCATTTTTTTAAGATAGAAAAGTCTTTGGTTGACTTTTTTATACAGAATATGGCCGTGTTACGATAGTTTGCTATTTATTAATTGTGACACCTAGGTGTTTAATGTCTCTAATTGCTCTACAGTGTGATTATTTATTGAGAGATTTGCAATAGGGCCAAATCCCCCTCAGAAAATCAACAACAATTTATTTATTTTTAGAGACATTCAACTGAAGAAAATTTTCACCACACAGCTTCAAGGCTGCCCTGGCATCAGCTAAGAGCTGTTAGAATAGCAACATCATACCCCCAACCGTTGCAAAGATGCCAGTACATGGATGCAGCAATGAAACATTACCAGAACCAGAACCACACAAACTGATAAAATTTTTAACAAAGTAGTATTAATTAGTAGATATAAATAAAGTAAGGAGAATTTCATTCGCATTTTTAAGATTTTGTGATCTTCGTTTCGGGGATACACAGCATAAAGAGTTGTGATTTTAAAATCAAAATTACCTCAATTTCATTGTTACTTAAGTAAAAAGCTCCAAGATTGGTCCAAGCCGTAACATTCTGTAAATATTACATTAAGCTTTAATTAAATGTATTGAAATGATTTGCAGAACTTCAACAAGCATCAAATATCTGTTTTAATTAATAATTTTTTTTTTTTTTATTGCAACAAGTGGAATATTTGATTATATGTACAATACTAAATGAGATTAATTGTGCAAAAAAACTACCAACTTACACTTGCTTCACATTCAATGGACTTAATGAAGCAATGTTGTGCTAAAGCTGGCTTGAAATTGGCTGATGTAAAAATCAAAATATTATATAATAATTGTAATTAAGCTCAGAAAAAATGAAAGGAAAAGAATAGAGCTATAAAGCAAATAGATTTGAAATAAATTTTATATTTTTGCATGAATGAAATAGGTTTGTAAAAAAAAAGAAAAGAATGCAATAATTTAACAGAAAAATACACACTTGTTTATTATCATGAATAATAAATTAAAGCAGTTAAATTATTCACTTCGTTTCAGTTATTAATAGTTTTGTTAAACATAATTTATTTTATGCCAAAGAGCTCTTAAGGCACAAATAGTGTAAACAATTAAGAGCATATTTATTATAATGTGTACAAAATTCTTTTTTGTCTCACCATTGCAGCATGCAATTACACCAAGTACATTCCAGTGTCTCCAGTCCTTGGGTTCTAGAATTATAGCCTTTCTCACAGCTTGAGTTGCTTGTGATAGAAGTGCTTGGCCATCATGACTTGTGGGATCACTTAAACTAATATGGCTGCTCTGGTGGTAAAGGATGACACTCAGATCATGCCACAATGAACCACTGTCTGGGAAAATTTTCAATGCTTGACTGTAACAGCTGAAATTAAGACCAGGTAAATTACTTTAAGAACTTTTAAATATGTTGACATTGGAGAGAGATTAATGATTATTTGTTAAAAATTCAATGAGAAATAATAACATTGTACATAAATTGAATGTGATTATACAAATTCTCTCTTTTTAAAATTGTTTGACATTGACTTTCTCAGCCATTAAGAACTGGTAAGATAAGTAGACAGACAATTTTTTATCATAACCTTAGTTGGTTGCTGTCTTCCAGCTTGAATGGTTTAGCTTTTTTTACTCTGGTTGACCTCCTCCCCAAGAATAGTTGCCTTATTAGGCAATCATGTCCATACCACCAGGCTATTTACCCAGAGATGGGTATTTAACTATTTTTTTATGGTTTTGATGTTATTCTTTATATTATTTTGTGACGGAAATAAATTTTGTAAAAAAAGACTCTGAATTAACCTGCTATTTCTTCCTCTGTTTTTGTAATAATTAAAATGATTGTACCACCTAATGACAAATCATACACCATGTACATTCATAAAATTAATTTTTTGATAATATTATTTGTAAATGAGAGTGTAGAGACTGAACAAATAACAGAGAAAGTTCCTACCTTGCTCCAATCTTCAGCAACTCCAGCTTGTTTACTTGCTTTAGTCCTTTGTCTTGTGAGTCATGCGATTTACCTAATAGCTTACCAGGTACACTGATGTAAATAAAAAATTAAAATCTTAACTCTCCCGCCACTTATACTAATGTTTAATCAGTCTACACATACTAAATTAAAATAAGAATAAAACTTATCATAAATAATTTTTCCCCTAAACGCTGTTGGGCTGCCCTCCAACACTACACTCTTAAGCCAGTTATTCCCTAACCCTCGGTTGTCACCAGAACTTTGGTGGAAAAATTTTTTAAAAGTGGGGGGTGTGTGCTAAAGAATTATTTTTTATTGGATGCATAATACAGTTTAAAATTTTTGTGCCATGACCATAAGCAAAAAAGACATTTGGGAGCTATTGTTTTAAGCTGATAGTGGTTCTCAACAGGTGTGCCACAACACAGTAGTGTTTAAAGAAGAAAAAGAGAATAATATTGAAGAACTTAAATTTATTTTTAAAGGGAATTATTGGCTTACAGTGTCGTATTTACATATCAACCTCAAAATATGCCAGAGCACTGTCAAAATGGTGTTACAACTGCAAGCCTACAAACAACTGGCTGGCGAATGCAAGCTGCGTGCGCTCTTGACCAAAGCTCTCAAACTGTAAATGACTCTTATGTTAGTCCCCTTAGTCTCCTATCGCACTGTTGCTGACCTGTACATTGGCATGCCCCAGGAACTCACTGGCACAGGATGGTGTGCCATGAACAAAATAAAAGGTTCAGAAATACTGATAGCGTACACAAAAATTTGGTTTTATTTAAACCCAGGATGGTCATGAGACCTTAGAAGTATTTTTGTTAAAATCACAGTCGCTTGCACACATCAAAATGATAATTTATTCACAATCTGCCCATTAATTTAGCAAGAATTATTACGATATATTCCAAGATAGACAACTGTTACTGTTACAAGCCTTGAAACAAGCCTTGCTTTTCTTCCACCCTTTTATATCATTAAAATATTATTTTGTGTTCTGTGAGAAACCATGAAAAGTTATTTCCAGAAGAATATTTTACCTATAATTATCAGATGCCAAGCAATGGGCAGCTGTGCAGGCATCTCCTAAAAGCTTCCATAGACAAGACATATCAGGCCTCTGGGAAGCTGCCCTGTTTTAGAAAAAAAATTAGATTCATTAAATAAAGTCTATAAATACATACATCCCTGTGGGGCTACAGCCCATGTAGGGCTACAGCCCATGTAGGGCTTTGGCCTGCCTCACCACTTCCTTCCACTCAGACCTAACTAATGCCTTCCTTTTCCATGCTTGGACTTTCAGTTGCTGTAGATCTTTTTCTACATCATCTATCCACCTAAGGCTACGTCTGCCTTTGAGCCTTTTTCCTCTGGGGTATTGGTAATGCACCCTCTTCGTTCCTCTGTCATTTGGCATTCTCTCTAGGTGTCCTGCCCAGCGTAGCCTGCCTCTTTTTATTTCTGCCACTATCGTGGGATCCTGATATAGAATGTATAATTCCTGGTTGGTTCGTATTCTCTATCCATATTCATCCTTTGTTGGCCCATATATTTTCCTGAGAACTTTCCTCTCCCATGTGTTTAATAGGTTTTCTGCTGTTTTTGTTAGGGTCCAAGTTTCACTTGCATATGTTACAAACTGATCACAGTTTTATAAATAGTTTTCTTTGTTTCTCTTTTAGTGTTTTTACTTTGAGTATTTTCTGACTACTGAAGTATGCCCTGTTTCCGGCTGATATTCTTTCTTTTATTTCTGTTAGTAATTCGTTTCTTTCATTTAACAAGGATCCTAGGTATTTGAATTGATTTATTTTTTCAAAAGTTTGGTTTCTAATTTTAATTGTTTCATCTGTTTGTTCATCTCTTATCATGGTCATGTATTTTGTTTTTTGGTTGTTAACTTCCAGCCCTGCTTGTAGAGATGCGTCTTCTAATGCAATAAAGGATTTTGATATGTCTTTAATACTTTTCCCTAGAAGTGCTATGTCATCAGCATATGCAAGATACAGAAGTGGTTGGTTGTAGAGTGTACCCGTTGGTTGTGGATCTTGAGTTTCCCTCAGAAAGTGTCCTGTTATCGTTCCTCGAGTGTCAATAAATACAAAATCTCTTTAATTAATCCACTTTATACTAAAAATAATTTACCCAAAGAAAAAAATATTTTAAAAAGTAACCCAAACTTTGAAATCTGTAATATGCATGAGATATTTATTATTTTCATAGCACCCACGTTTATTTTAATTAATATTTTAAATTAAATTTAACCTGGTCAGATAAAGGATGGCTTCCTCAAAATTGTCCTGAGCCAGTCCATCAAGACAGTTGCTAAGGTTTTGCCTGCCAAGTTGGATTAAACTCTCAGCAACACCTGTTTTTCAATAAAAAGTTGAGTTTTAATAGAAATGTATAATTATTGGGAATGTTAAAACATATTCTTTGAACATTCAATTATAAGTATTAATGCTACTTTTATGCACATAACTACTAAGTCTGCCAAAAAAACTAGGTGCAGACCTTCTCATGCTGTATCATCAGTAATCATGTAATCTAATACAATTCCAAACATAATATGTGGATTAGCAATTCCTATAATTTAATATAAATTTATTTTCAATGTCAGATGTGGGAATATCACTATGCTTTACTATACCTTTTAAGACAGGAACATAGCTTGCTAACTTGACAAGGATGATTTTGTATTCTTCAATGGCCTCCTTGAGAGATCCTAATGTGTGCTTTATATTAGCTATCCTAAATAATAAAATTGTACAATAAAAACTAAGCAAAATGACTTTTTAAAAATTCATTTATAGATTATATTATATTCGTTTTATTAGTTATTAGAGTATATTACTTTATTAGTATTAGTTTTAATACTATTTAAATTTATTGATTGAATTAACTGCTTCTTATAAAGAACTTGTTATTGATTCTTAATAATAAAAAACAGAATTAACTTTAAAAAAATTTTAACACTATTCAATTGACACAGGTTTTGATTTAACCATAAATTTTATTATTTAACATTTTTAAACTGTATAAATAATAATTCTGAGTTAAAGATGTAATATAATAAATTTGCATATTAAATAAATTTAAATATATTATCTAATAAGGCTTACTTGTATAAACAGTACAATGAGTTAGGATCCAGCTGAAAATTAGAGAAATAAACTAGACACTATTGAAAAAATATTGATAAAAATAAATGAAATAGCAAAACGAGGTATGTGGAAGCTTGGAAGCATTCCTTTAATTATGATAAAAATAACAAATGAATATTTAAACTGTAGATTTGTATTTTTGTGTCATTATATACAGTTAAATTAATTAATTAAATCAATATAAAAATGAATATGTTTAATAAAGAATAATAAAAAATATACATTATTAATATTTAAAATCAGTTTATGAAAAGTATTTTCTTAAATTTTAATAAAATTTGAGTAAAACATTAGCTCTATGAAAACATAAAATTTGGAAAAATTGTGATATAATTGTGACCCTACTAAATGTAGTTATGAGAAAATAATACAACAGTGCAACTGACAACAATTAAGCTAGAAATTACCTCAGAGGCTTTAGAAAATGCTTTCAATGAGGCCGTGAAGCTTCCACGTTGAAGATAAGCTTCAGCAAGACATTCCCAAACATGGCTGAAATAAAAAAAAATTTAAATCTTTACATTTGGATTATTTCAAACAAAATTTATAAGTATTTTAACAATTTGAGGAGAAATACTTAAGAAATAATTTTAAATATACTAAACATTTTATAATGATATAATAAATATTGCAAATGCATGCACAAGCTTATTTTAAAATTGTTTCCTTAAATATACCAAATTAAATTTTGTAAGTCTAAAACTACATTTACCAGACCAGCTTTTAAAAAAATTAACAAAACCCCTAAGTATAGATCTAATGTTATTTGATTACTTTTTCTAGGGTTGAAATTTACAATGTGTAAATTGTAAGGGAAGACATATAAAAGGTAGTGTTATATAAATATAATATGGATGAAAAGGACAGTAAAGAATTGAGAAAAAAAAAAGAGATAATTTTTAATTTACAATACCCAATCAAGACAAGGATATCAATATGAAACAATTATGTGTAATCATAAAATTTATGAAAAAATTTAATGCAGATTGAGAAAAAAATAAACCAAATCCTAACAACTAAGTGTTCAGTTAAGACTATAAATATTGAAGGAATGGGCTATTAGCATACATCAATTATATTTCACAGACAACATGATGGAATTTAACATACCTAAATGGTAATGAATACTTACTTATCATTGGGGTCAGCTCTGAGGGCTGATTGTAAAGATGTTATTGCTGTGGTAGGGTCATCGTGCTTGATCTGGTGCAGGCCAAGTCTGAGCCAGGCCCACTTGACTCTATCAGGAGATTAAGCATATGTTTTAATTGTTGACAAGTGGTTGAAAATTACATAAATAAAATTTGAAATACTTTACACTTTCTAAATTATATGAACATATGTTAAAACTGGTGTGTATTAGGCAAAACCAATCGCCACATCCAACAAACACATCTTTTTTTGTGTTAGTAAAAGTGTGATAAGAAACTAATCAATCCCCAAATTAGTTTCATTGAAAATATTTCAAAGAAAATTGATATCAATATCTTTATTGAACTAAAAAAAAGTTTCCACAAGTCATTTTTTTCAAATTTGTGTATTCAGTAAAAAAATACATTTTGGGGATAGAGGACATATATGAGTGATATACAATGAAAGCTTTCAAAGCACTTTGCATGGACTCTGACACAGCATTTTGTACACTTCTTTGTTGCCTTTTTGCTGCATCTAATTTGCTTTAGGTTGGCAGTAATGATATGTCTTTCATTTTCATAGTGTAATGCATCTGGTACATTTTGCAGAGCTTCTGTGGATTCAGCATGGGATGGCCGCCTGGCCAACTAGACTAAACCTTAAATTATGTAGTGACAATCTCTCAAGTGAACTGGAGAAGATCAAGTGGTCTTGTTTGATATGCTGGTGTCAGTTGATACATCTGCAATGCAATGCTGCCTGAAGCATTAATCAGAAATGCCAGCAGCTTCCGATATCACTTTCATTGTCGACTCCTCTCAATTATTTGATGGCTGCTGCACACTGACATGTTGGTCCAATTTCTGTGAAAAGCTCTGAAAGTTCTGACAAGTTGAGTTTTCACAACGCATTTCTTGTTTTTTTCCATACTGAGAAAACCTTTTGCCAACTCTGGCAGCCCATATTTTGCATGCCAGATCTGGACGGGGATTTGAATCATTTTGGAACACTTCTATGTCTTTATTTTCACTAGCTGGTTGCAAAACATGGCTTCAGCTTGAACTTGAAATTGCTTTCCAGAAAGATGATTGATGCCTTTTTAGTTCAGCCTCATCATTACTATCTCCTTCAGCTTCATCATTACTATCTCCTTCTGTTTCATCGCAATCTTCTGGAGGCATAACATACACATTGGCACTACTAAATTTCCTCTCATCACCTTTCAAATACATAAAAAATATCATTTATGGTAAGATTTTTTTCTCATCGTGATGGTAAAATAATCTAAAATCTATTGTGAAAATAAATGGGGTGTTAATGCACAATGGATCACACAAATGTAGCTAATTTTTTTTTTAAATAAAAATTTAAATCCAGGTTGATGTTCATAATATGTTTATAGGACCAGACTTATGAGCAGAAAAATGAACACAGAAGAGTTACAAAATGTCAATTCATTTGAAAGATATCACTCGCTTTGTTTACTTGCTACCGTGAAATAAAACAACACAAGAATTCCTTGGAATAATCATGCATGCTGCTATACTGAGGACTTATTTTGTTAAAGTGCTGCCATAAGCCAAAAAGCCTATCAACTGGCCTATCCTACATCCCCTTTGAATCTTGTGAATATTTTTTTAAAGTTCCTTTTTTGAGACGCTAGACAATTTGTAAATCAGTAAACACTGCTGCTTGTAAAGTTAAAAATAAGAGACAGTGGGGCACGATTCAAATGGCACCTTAATGGTGGGATATTAGCACATCAGGCTCATTACAATTGAGTCTGGTTCAAATTAGCCTGGCTATGGCTCCAGCTTTTGGCCAATGGCCAGGTGGAATGAAGTCAGCCTGACAAGGCAGTTAATCTTGATGGGGAGAACACCTTAACTAAATAAAACTAAACTGTGTGATAAACAGGATCAACATGGGCAAAAAGCGTTGGCTGAAATGGAAAGCACTGGACTATCTTCGTTAGTCTTATGCAAAATGCCATAAATTAACAAGAAAAAATGTTCAGCTACCAGGCAAAATTAGATCAGAGAGAGAAATATTTAAATCTCATTAGGCATAAGACCTGGATTTCTCAGCTAGACACAGTTTGCCAATCACATAACAAAAAGACTTTGATATACGTTCTACAGACAACTTACTGTCCAGCAGCAGCTTGCGATGTGGCTAGCTCTAGTATTTTGAGAGACTGCACCTGATAAAACATAAATTCATTATAATTACTTTTGAAAAATTTTGCAGACTAATTTAGTAAGTTAGCCACAGTTATAAAGAAAAATTGATTTTTTAAAATCTGCACAATAATTAGGCTCTAGAGTAGATGAATTCAAAACCAGGGTTTGTGATTTCAATGTGATTTTTTTAATATAATCTAGAGGTTAAATGTGTGCTTATTAATAGTTAAATTTTATAATAATTAAAATGGTTGAACCAATTAAAACAGTGCCAAATAATCTTAAGGCCAAGGTCATCTTTATAACATACCTCTTCTTCAAGTTCCACCAGAATGTCGACCAAGGCACAACCAGACTGATCAGATCCTGGGTTCAGATCATAAGCCTTCTGAAAACATCTTTTTGCTTTGCTGCAGATATTCATTGACATATTACACAGTTAACTGTTAAAGAACAATATATTTATTTTATCATAAGCACCAAAAAAGTAGAAGCTATTTAGGATATTGTTTCACATTTAAAATTTCTAAAAAAAACTGGACTTTTACTGTAGAGTATTTTCTTTTTTAAAAAGCTTTAAAATTTTAGTACTTCTAAAGGAAGAACAGAATGGTATGATTTATGTTTAAGGTGAACAGTGTTTAATGTGCATCAAATTAAGAAATTTAAATAGCAAAATTGAGAAACTTACACTAAGTTCTGTTGAATGTCTTTGTAGAAATAACCCAAATACAGAAAACTCTCAAAGTGGTTAGGATCAAGTTTTGCAGCCTGTAAAAGAGTTTCAGAATTATTTTAAGAATTTCATTAAGTAAGGTTTTCTCTAAATATAAAAATAAAATGGAAAAATGGACAGTATTAATTTCTTCACCATTTCTTCAATTTTTATCTGCATTTTATCCCAAAGATAAAAACAATTTTTTTTTCTTTCTGATAGCTCACTTTCAGCAGAGTTGTAAAGCATTTTTGTTGTACTTCTGCTATCTCTTTAGACTCTCTCAATGCCCAAAAAACTTGACCTAATTTCAGCGTTGCAATAAAATCTGATGGGTCTTCTTTCAAAACATTTTCCAATCTGAAATATACACATTATAAATTATGTCCTGTATTTATTAAAGAAGATACATAAATTATTTTAAAATACTTGAAATGTTTCATTACCAAAAAAACAGCCAATCATTTCAATCTTTGAACTCATTAACAAACTAGATTTATACACATAAAAAATAAGCAGTGTTATCAGTTTTACTTCATGCTCAGTCAAGCCCCTGTACATTCATCAAAGCTACTTACATTTTTAAAGCTGCATTGTAGTCCATTTTTTCAAACAATATTGAAGCTTTCAGTGTTTGGACAGGCAACATTTCTTGTGGCAAATAGCTGGCACTTAACTTGCAACATAATGGAAATTTATAAAAATGCAAATAGAGAATATGAAAATAACAATATATGATGCATATGAATCCGAATCAAGTTCAGATGTATGCCTCACAACTTAAATATTTTAAGATTAATATTAAATTTTTAAAATGTTACAAAAGTTTGTCTTTTAAATTTTATGACATTGAACATGATTTTTTTAAAATAATCAATATGTTTACCTCAGCTTCATCAATATTCCCTTGATCTAGGAGCACAAATGACTTGATGAGAAATGATTCATTTGGCATTTTTTCTGAAACCTTTTCATAAACATAATAATTTTTTTAGCTAGAATTATATAATTAAGAATCAGTGATAAAGGATAATAAAATATATAAAGGAAGAAATATGACAAATAAGAATATATTAGTATTTAAATTTCTATGTTAACTATACTTAAATTAAATCCTTTAAAATTCTAGTCAAAGCAATAATTTAAGCTAAAAAATAATGAGGTCCTGACATTTTGGCTGAAAAAGAAGCTTTCAGTCTGTAATATTATTAGCATCCTCTTCTCACCTCTTCTAAAACTGCCAAAGCTTTTTCTCTAGCAATGTTTGTTCCTATTTGCCTAAGAGCTTCAGCCTGAATAAGCTTGAATAAAGCCATGACATGGGCTGCAGGAGCACATAGCATTCTCTTTGAACTTGCACAGGCTGATAGACCTGTAAAACAAATGAAATTAGGAAAATTCAAATATTCAAAATATAAATAAAGACCTTTAAAATGAAAATTTCGGTTCATTAGCTAAGCAATATATTGGGAAACAAAATTTATGAAATAAAAATAATTTACTTTCCTTAGACATTGCTAGTGAATTGGATCTGATTTTTTTTTTTTATACACACTATATTTTTATCTCTTCAAGCTAGATTATTCAAGATATGACAATATAAAAGATACATTTCTAGATTATTTTTTTAAACTGCAGACGTTTACTGTTAATTCTGAAGCCTATAATCTATGTAAAAGTGTAACATTTGGACTGCCACTTAATATGGCAAAAGTAATCTAACTCAGAAAACTGGAATAGGAAGTATTTGCAAAAGCATAAAGTTTGAGATTGATTTTTTCAATTTAGAAACTTTTGCTGAAATTTCTTTTTTGGTCTAAGATTGGAGCAAAAATAAATTTTATTAGTATTTCACTCAGAACGGAAAAATGTCTTAAATTTTTCTACTCTGTCTATTAACATAGTTTTATAAATGGAGTCATTATTGAACTGTTTAATTTATTACATGCCAGAGCAAAGCAGGATGTAAGAAAATATATGTAAGTGAAATGAGCAGCTACAATTTCAAGCCAACCCATTCTAATTTTGCTTAAAATATTTGCAAATAATATATTTTTAGTTTACTTACTTTTCAAATCATAATAATTTAGTTTATAACATAAAACACACCTTTTTCACATGTCTCTAAACAAATTTGATTCTTGTGTTGTAATAAAAAAGCATAGCTCAAGAAGTATACAGCACTTATGTTGTCACTAGTACAATCTGCAAAAATCAATGACGGTTTAATTTATAAATCTTTTCAGGCATTTAAATCAGTTACATTTTTATAATCCCATCTGTTGCCAGCTGTTTATTGCTATTGATATAAATTTAAAATTACTGTTAGACATAAATAATATATATTCCACTTCAAACATAAAGAATGTTTTAATTTCTCAAACATAATTCCATCATGTTGGTGTTAAAAGAAATTTGTATCACTACTGTGGCAAATAGTCATCTAGGAGTAGGCCCCCTCACCTGCCTACACACAAGTTTGCAATGAAATAAGTTTTAAATGTCAATCTTATCTTTCCAGAAAAGAATAAAAAATGAACTAAGAAAATAAGAATGCTAACTCAAACCTTGAATTAATTCAACAGCTTCAACAATTCTTTTCTCTTGCAGTGCTATAAATGCTTGACCCACTTTTATCAAAGGTGATTCAGGTTTGAAACTCAGCAACTTATTTGTTAAATGTGTAACAATCTGACAGGTTTCTACAGAGACATTCCCATTGCCTGAAATAATAATTCATACTTTTTACTCTGTATTCCACTAAAGTTGACACTATGCAACATTAAATAGATTTCAAAGATTTATTTTTTTTTAAAGTCCTGCTACATTGTTATGTCTTTCTTAATATTTTTTATAATACATAAGCATTTATGAAAACTTCCTAGGGTGTTTTTCTAAGGCTGAATTATATATATTGTTACCTAAGTTAGCATCAAGGTGACATCTCAATAGAAATTCCAATGGTGGGGCAGCTTGTGGAAATCTATTGACAAGATCTTGGCTTACAGCCTGAATGTTTTCTATCTTAATCTGAAATCAAATTCACTTTATTTGAAAATAAATGATCATGGCTACTTAATGAGTTTTTAAATTTATAAAGAATTTGTTTAAATCCAGAAAACTGTGCAATGCACTGAGTATAAGGTTTAAATTTGGCAATACACTACATTGCTAAATGATTTGGTAGTAAATTTATGAAGATACAATTATCAATGTGTTATTTTATATAATCGGCATCCTTCCGTCTCGTGAGACGATGGTGCATCACCGTTGGGTTGGGTTGCATTTTCTCGAGTGGCTGTGCAGTCCTATCCTTGAGTGACAGTCTTTACCACAGTTTTTACACACGAGTTCCGTGCTTCTAAATGTTTTGGCCTTTCTTCTAACTCTTCTGTCTGCAGCCTCTTCCATTCTTCGCTCCTCGGCTACCATGACGCCCTCTTTGAAAACTGTGCGCCACGTAGATCGGTCTTTTGCCTTACACTCCCAGTCACTTGTACGCATTTTGGCTGCTTTCATGTCCCTTTGACAGACATCTTTAAATCGCAGACGTGGGCGACCTGTTTTCCTCTTTCCCGAAGCAAGTTCACCATATTGGATGTCTTTCGGAATGCGGCCGGGACTCATTCTTTTAACATGACCTAGCCATCTCAGGCGTCTTTCACTAAGGATTGTGAACATGCCCAAACCTTGTTTAACTCCGCTGCTGACTGGAAAGGCTTCTGACTTGGCTCCATCGAACTGCACTGTACCCTGCATATTTTCATGGAACTCTCTGATGATGGCAAGTAGGTGAGGGGGACAGCCGATTTTTGCCAGTATTTTGAATAGCCCGTTGCGACTGACGTAATCAAAGGCTTTTGTAAGGTCCACAAAGGCAATGTACAGTGGCATCTGCTGCTCTCTGCATTTTTCCTGGAGCTGTCGTATGGAGAACACCATGTCTATGGTAGACCGCCCAGACCGGAAACCGCACTGAGATTCTGGATAGACACGGGATGCTAGACTCTGTAAACGTGTTAGTATGACACGGGCAAAGGCCTTTCCTACAATACTAAGGAGTGAAATGCCGCGATAATTATTGCAATCACTCCTATCACCTTTGTTTTTATATAGTGTCACTATATTTGCATCCTTTAGGTCTGGGGGGATGTAGCCCTGTTCCCAGCAGAGGGACAGAATCTTGTGCAATGGTTGGAGTAAAGCTATCTTACCACTCTTTAGAGCCTCTGGTGGTATTCCATCATCCCCAGGCGCTTTTCCACAAGCTAGGCTATCAATAGCTTTGCTCAGCTCTTCCTGTGAGGGCACGACATCAAGTTCTTCCATGAGTGGCATATCTGGGATGTCATCTAGAGCGGTGCTGGAGACTGTGGTAACTGTTGAATACAATTCCAGATAATGCTAAACCCACCGTTTTAGCTGTGCTGCCTGGTCTTGGATAATTTCTCCACTTTTGGACTTTAGAGGAGCAACTTTGGACGTCAAGGGGCCAGTTGCCTTTTTGATGTTTTCGTACATTGCTTTTGCATCGCCCATATCTGCAGCTGACTGTATGCTGGAACAGAGGTTAAGCCAGTAGGTATTGGCACAATTACGTGCAACCTTTTGGGCAAGTGACTTGGCTGTTTTTAAGGCATGCAACCTGTCGGGTGTAGGCTTTTCCTTGTAAGCCGTAAGAGCTTTCCTTTTGGCTTCAGTGACAGGTTTCATCTCGTCCCAATGTTCATCAAACCAGTCCGTGTTTTTGTGAGATTTTTTTTTGCCAAAGGCCTGTATTGCGGATGTATAGATTGTGTCTCTGAGATGCGTCCATTTCGAGTCAATGGTGACACATGGGGACATCCTTGAGATACCTCCCTTCACCTTGTCTGTGAACAGCTGCGTTAGCGCAGGGTCTTTCATGCAGAAGGTATTGATACGTGGACATCCCTTTTTCTTGGTGTGGTACGAGTTTTTCCTCATTATTCGTACCTTGCTGGCGACAAGGGAGTGATCCGTGTCACAGTCGGCACTGTGATAGCTGCGAGTGAGTAGGATGCTAGCTAGTTGTGCACGCCTGGTGATGATGAGGTCCAGCTGGTGCCATTGGCGGGATCGAGGGTGTCTCCAAGATACTTGATGTATATCCTTGCACTTGAAGTAAGTGTTGGTCACACACAAGCCTCGTGAGCAGCACAATTCCAGAAGCCTCTGTCCATTTTCATTTATCTTTCCTCTTCCAAAGAGTCCAAGGCATGTGGGCCAGGCTTCGTGGTCGCTCCCCACTCTAGCATTGAAATCTCCCAGGAGGTAGATTGCCTCGTCTTTGTGGATGCTGGCTATTGCCTGGTCTAAAGCTCCATAGAACTGGTCCTTCTCTTCCGGAGTTGAACAGAGAGTTGGGGCATATACACTAAGAATGTTTGCTGGGCCCGCAGCTGTTCTGAGTCTTAGAGTGAGGATCCTCTCCGTGCCTGATGACGGGGGATCAATGAATGGTGTAAGAGTGTTCTTAACAGCGAAACCTACACCATGCTGTCTAGGTTCGTTTGTTGGTCTGCCTTGCCAGAAGAAAGTGTAATTTGCCTCTTTGAGTGAACCGTTGTCTGGGAGCCTGGTCTCCTGAAGGCAAGCGATGTCAATCTATAGTCTTTTAAGTTCTCTATCGATTATTCCTGTCTTCCGTGTGTCGTTTATTGACTGCGGGTCATCAGTGATGCCGGGACACATAGTCCTCACGTTCCAGCTAGCGATTCGAAGAGCTGGGGTCTTCTTTTTCTTTTTTGTGTTTCTTGGTGCAGGGCTTAGTGGCCCACTTGTTGAGTGGTACTCTAATCTCCACGCACCCAGTGGAGAAGGCAGGCCATGACGGGATAGCACCTATTTGACTGGGGGCTGCCCAGTTTGAGGCGGGCGGTAGCTGTCCAGTGAGACATTGGTAGTCTCTCCCACCGTCGGAAGCAGCCCCTGGCGCCTAGCTCTACGTCAATTGAGCTTTTGGCTTATAACCGGTAACTGCTGCTTCCCGTGTTTTGTCGACACCTTGCGGCGACGCTGGAGTGTCCTCTCCAGAGGTGATGCAAGCCTGGGCGGGTATTATGGAGAATTAGCTGCTGCCCATACAGCATATCCCCCCTCTCCACGTCAATGGTGTAACCAAGGGAACGACTTGCGTCGATGCGGCTTGGCTGCCGTTGGCGTCGCAGGAGCTGCCGGTATGTACATAAGAGTCTTATGTATAGACCGCCTGTAGGTGCTCCATTTCCTGATTTTCTGTCGGGGTTTACTCCCTTAGCCTTTCCCGAAGAGCGGGTATAGCCGCAAGGCAGCGGAGGATTTTGAAGTCGGAGTTTCCTTCTCCTAGATGAACTTGCCAGCCAAGGTTTTAACGAGCATCATCTACCCGTAGGGGTGCCAGCACCAGGATTCGAACCCGTGACTGATTGAAATTTATTTTGAAGTCTTGGTACCGCATGTGTTATTTTAAAACAATGCTTACCAGTACACTCTTTTGACAAGAGAGAGCATATCACAAAGTTAATTGTTATTTAATGTAATTTAATGTTATTTATTGTGGTTTACTTATACAAATGGAGGATAAGATTTCTTTTTTTTATATATATATAAACATGCAAAAACAAAGAAAAAAAACCCATGGAAACTTTAAAAATCATAACTAAACAACAAACCTGGCTAGTTAATAAAAGAAACTGTGAAGTGTACTCATTAATTTCTTCCTGGCTCAATGATGGTGATTGTAGGACTTCCAGTAATGCAGTTTGATACTGTCCATAAAACACATTTATTAAAAATTCTATCAAAGTTTACTATATCTATAACATTTGATATTCAAAATCTATCATGTGCCTCAACATTTAATAATTATGGAGTGAAAGCCAGTTAGATGTTGAATACCATTACAAGTAACCAACCAATTCATTGATATTTTATTACTGTTTTGACTCTCTTTAGGAGACTAAGGTGTAGTTTTGCTGAATGTATCTAACCCAGGCTAGATTTATTTTTTTTAATGGAGAATCAACTGTTTCCCAGTTGACATATTCCTTTCTAAATGTAGCATGTAAACCCAAGAGAACATCAATTGTTGACACACCAAGAACATTGCCAGAATTTCCATAGAATACAATGTCAAATGCAGCAGGTAAATCAAAGGGAACACCAAATGGTTATTACACCAAGAACATTGCCAGAATTTTCATTGAATACAATGTCATAATGCTTAAGGGACTACCTCTCTGGATTTTTCTGTTAGAGTCTACTCCAAAAGTCTTGACCAAGGCAAAATAAGTTTGTAGTCAGAGTTTTCCCTTTCTTCATTAATTATGTTAACTATATCTTAGGGATCTAGGGAAAAAGGGTGAAATCATCTAAAACTTTTGTTCAGGATTTTCTCATGTCAATAATCCAAAGGTTGTTCAAAGCTTTACCACAATTGAAACTGCTTCATCTAAGCTGAATTTTTGTAAGCAAAATTACCTTGGTTAGCTTACAGTTTTTAATTTAATGTCTAAGCAAAAACATTTTCAATCTTAAATTTTAAAAAAAAAGAACAGAACAAAAATGCATGAGCTTTTCAAACTTTTACCAAATCAAGTTTGTCTCGGGTCAGCTTTGGTGCTGATGAAGCTAGTAATGTTATTATAGAGCGCTGAGAAATCAATCTTCCATCTCCTTCCTTCTCCAGATTTAGTAGATTTGTTAAGGTCTCAAGAGCCTATAAAATTTCAAACAATTAAAAACATATATTTTATCTAGAACTAAACAATTGGAAAAAATGTGTATCTCAAAAAGGTAAATATTAGGTAATAAACTTTAAATGGTCAGAAAAATGCAGATTCAAGATTCAATCTAACAAAATACAATTGAAAATATCAAAACCAATTATAATACCAAAATTGCTAATAGCTGAAGAAATGTGTACTATTTGCACATACCTTATCCATATCTTTAGACTTAATAAACAATTCAACAAGCTTGTGAGAATAACCAATCAGTTTTTTGTGGTCGCTGCAATCAAAAGCAACTTGATGTTAATATTTAATGTGAAAAAAAAACAAACTTTAAATACGTTGTGAATTACTTTCAGTTACATGGAAAACGCCTGAGTGTAGACGCATGCTAAAAACTTTTTTTTTTAATTCAAAACAAACCAGACTAAATTAGTTGAATTTTAAAAATGTTTATTTATACTTAACATATTTTTTTAACAGAAACCAAATTTTTTATTTTAATAACAAATTTTATAAGAATATGTTTTATAAACTACATATGCTTAAAGTACTGGTATCATTTTTAGGGAAAAAAAATATTTAGAGGAATATATATGAACCTACCTTGCACTTAAGAACACAAGTTTCTCATAGATGGATTTAGCTTCATCTGTTCCCATAAGTTGTGGATTTTTGTCAACAATGTTAGCTAGGCCCTACAAATAAAAATATAAAATTTTCATCAATATGATATTTACTGATTTTTCTGTGGCTTTACTTTTCACCCAAAACCAGTACTTGTATGCTCCATGTCTCAACACTGTGATCAGAGATGTTGAAACTTTCCATTTACCATGCACAGCATTTCCATTGGGGAGCATTCCTTCAAGCATGTCATCCAGGCAGGATTTACTCTTTGCCCAGTCTCCACAACCTACTGTCTCCTGGCATTCAAAACTTTCATTATATTCTTCTTCTTCTTATGCCTTTTTACCCCATCTGGGGCATAGGCCGTCAACAAAAAATTTTCCATTCATCATGGTCCTGTGCTTTCCATTCCAGTTGCTTCCAGGTGTATCCCTCATTCTGCCTCTAGCTTGCGTCTCCATGTATTCTTAGGCCTTCCTCTCTTTCTTTTTCCCTGTGGATTCCATGTTAGGGATTGTCTTGTGATGCTATCTGGGGGTTTTTGGAAAGTATGCCCTATCACCCTCCATCTTTTCTTTATGATGTCTTCATCAATGGGCACCTGATAAGTCCTTTCTAGTAAATCTTTGTTGGTGATGGTATTTTGCCATTTGATGTTCAGGATCTTTCTAAGGCATTTTAATTAGTTTAGGCAATTTTTGTACTTCAGCAGAGGATTGTCCGCTGTGTCTTTGAAAGGACTTTCATGATCCTATGGAAAGAAAGATTCAACCAGTTCTAGTCACCTAAGTGTAGTGATATGGTCCACTTTACAACTGGTCAGTCATGAAATCATACAAGAATATAGCTTCAGGGTCAATACAAGGGGAGGATAGAAAGAAGGAGAGCAACTAGTAGACTGAGCAACTTAAGAGAGAATAGGCTTTAGTATAACATGACATATATTTACACTTTGCTCAGACTGTGTCCAGATCTGTCGCTGGATGTTTGGTTGCACCTGATAGGTTTCTATTGAAACAGGAAGGACCAATACAAGAGCAGGAGTCTTTTGTGAAGGTACCCATTTAGACACAATGAAACAGGCCTGCACAACATATGGCCCCCAAAGTACCTAAATATTCTTTTTTACGAATATTTTCTTAATAGCTTTCACCCCGTCCTATTTTCTTTCGGCCTGCACAATTTTTTCAATAAGTATTACGGCCCGCCTTACATTTTGAGCTGTGCAGGCCTGCAATAAAGTAAGAGAGGCCATATTTCAGGAGGTATCCAAGAATGCTCTAGATGAGGCAGCACCTGGTACATCTTGGCAATCAATGAATCACTGAGGCTATATTTTCCCCATAACTGCTATTCAACTTCCCCCAGGAAGATGTATAGTAAACAGCGATGTCTCAAAAATGTAGATATTGTCTGCTTCGTATCTGTCCTCAAGAAGGTCTTTATGGCAGTGAGGTCATCAGAAAGCATGTACAATGTAGGAAGATTAAGTGAAAGCCAAATGTAGCTGGACAAAATTGGCCTTGTATCTTACTTCCAAAAATATATAATTATATAGATTTTCTTTTCAGGAATAATAAATAAAATCCATTGCATATATTTAGTTTATTTGCAGAGGATGATTTCAAACACTCTTATAATAACTTAATATAATTAATTACAATATTAATAAGATCGTTAGATTAATTTATTTTATTTTGTATTGATAAGGTAAATAATTCAGTGTTTTTAGGATGGCAGTAGTGTGATCTGAAGTTGAGCCTTCTGTAATTTTTTACAAATAGCAAACCTGCTCTGCTTCGACACAAGTTGTTGCGCACAGATTAACATTTTATCTGGGTAGCGGAGCAATAAACCTCTAGGATGTAACTGAGAGCCCTATTACATGTCCATTTAACATACCTTGGAAATGTATAGACACTCTGCCCCCACCCCTCCCCCCACCCCACCCCCTAGGTGAATAACATTAGAAAGCTGTATCAATTATACATTCACAATCAATTAAAATTTTATTGTTGAAACACTCCAAAATAGATTTTGAAGCACAACATTCATGTTTACCTGCCATGCAAGGAGCTGCTCCGGTTGTCTTTCAGCTGCTCGCTTGTAGGCCTTTAATCCCTGTTCTGGCTGGTCCATACCCTCTGCTGCCAGGCCCACAAATACAAGAGCATTGTAATTATCTTTCTCTACAGCAAGCACAGCCTGGTTTTGAAAAGAATCAATGCAGGGAGCAACATAATGAGAGTGAGTTATTGAAGAGTAGCAACTAATGACAAAACAGCCACCTTTACCACATGTTAATTTCTGCTGGTTTGATTTTTTAGGTTTAATGTTTTATGGAATACCAAATGAGTTGAAACCACACATACTCTTAAAGCAGCTAAATCATTTCATTTTAAAATGGTACGGTCAGTAAATAGGGAAAAACAGGGTGGGGATTATATTTTAATTATTAGAGATAGTAAAATTGTTTAAAAATTTAAATTCACCTTTTTTAATAGATATCTCTTAAATAATTACACATGACATAACTAAATTATAGATTTAAAAAATTATTTTCAATCTGGCTAAACTGCACGTAGCTACCAAAGTCTTTAACCTAATGCTATTATTCACTTTAATAGTTTGTTAATTTGTTTAGTTTCCTAATTTAACAAAGCATTGATTAAACTATTTCCTTCAAATTAACTGAATTTTCAATAAGATCATAGTTCATATCATCTTATTTTAAATTAATTAGGGCATATTTTTTTTTTTATAGACATTTTTGGGTTTTCTGATAAAACTACTTTCATTAAACATTTAAATGTTTGATTTTTTCATGTTATTATCACACTGCTTTGATTAATTTTTTCATAAAATTAACATAGGAACCATAAATTAATATTAATAATTTATGTTGACCCAACCTTGCTTTGCCGAAGAGCTTCTTTATAATCTTTTTCTCGAATTGCGTCTCTTGCCCCTTTTAAACATGTTTTGATTTCTTTTGCATCCATAGTTTTCTAATGAAATTTTCACCTGCAAAATAATAATGGTTAGAGTTTTTAGGTGGATGGTGGATGGAAAGAAATCAAGATTCCTATTGTTCATACCAAAGAAATGCTAAGATTTATTATAAATTCTACTTTAATTAATATTAAATTACCAACCATTATTAATTTACTCCAACCACTAAGAATGATCACACAGTATTGAAGTTTTAAAAAAATTAAATTTATGTCTTTAAAACCAATAAATCCCATAGTTAAATTTTGCTATGTGCACATCTATTAGTCACCAGACAAGTTTCAATTGTACTGTTGAATAGAAATCAATGCACTGAAAATAGCATGTCTGGCTCCCAGAAATAATAATATAATGTACAAAAATTGTTCATGAATCTTTAGTTTTTATTTATTGTAAAATATTCAAGATGACTAAAGGACCATGCAAAAAAAAGAAATATACTATTAAAAGTTTTGACCCCATGATATTTAAAAAAGTAAATTTACTGAAACTATTGCATGCAATGACAATAAAAGGAAATAATGAACATATAGTAAGAGTCAATGAATACAAATTTTTTTTTTTAACTGTCAGTAGTAGTGATATAAATTATGAAAATAATATTACAATTTTAAAGGATCCTTATCTGACTTTCACAATAAAATTCAAGTATCATTAGTAGATCATTAGAAAAAGGGACGGTAAAAAATACAGTCGAGTCTACTTCGACTACTAGTAGAATTAGACTTGAGTATTATTAGACGCCAGTATTAATTTAATAATAATGAAAAGAGCATTCTGTTCACTGTTATTATTTTTATTTTTAAAACCCTATTTGGCAAAATTTTATCCACTTAAAGTTTAGCTAATTCAGTGTCAGCTGAGATGCATAAATTTGCATTATTGCTTCATCGCGAACACACATCTACAATTACAATTAATGCAATCATTGGCCTGCCTCACCACTTCCTTCCACTCAGACCTTTTCTTTTCCATGCTAAGATTCTCAGCTGCTGTAGATTTTTTTCCACATCATCTATCCATCCAAGCCATTGTCCTCTGGGGTTTTGGTGATGCACCCTCTTCACTTCTTTGTCATTTGGCATTCTTTCTAAATGCAACACCCCCCCCCCCCAGCCCAGCCTGCCCTTTTTTATTTCTACTTGTAGCATGGCAGCCTGTTATGGTTATAGTCCACACAATTTCTTTTTGGTTCATATACTCCATCCATATTCATCCTTTCTTGTTCTGTATACTTTCCAGGGTAATTTTTTCTCCCATGTATCTTATCATTGGTGTATGTTTTTCTTGTAATTTTTTTTGATTATTTTGTGACTACTTAAGTATGCCTTGTTTCCAGCTATTCTTTCTTTTATTTCTGTTACTATAGTAAGTCATTTCTTTCATTTAAGAATTTTCTTTTCTTGGCAGATTTTAGTTAAAAGTTTGTGTCTAGTTATTAAGGGGTCTGGTCCTTTATGTGTTGTTGTTTTTTTAATCTTCATTTTGTCCATTTTCTGCATTAAGTATGCCCTCAAATATTCAGCCCATCTCTCCAGTATTTTACTATTATTTATAATTAATTCTCCACCTCTACTCTCACACATTTGTAGTCTGGCTTATAAAAATATGTAATTAAAGTTTAAAATAAACAATTGCTTAGGCTTAGGACTTTAGCCACAGGCTACCTACTTTATAGTTTATCTACTAGTATTAAGGCTACTCACTGATAGACTGATAAAGTTTTGAGTAACAATGTAACAATGAAGGAGTGTTTAGTTAGCCTACCCTTGCCTTTAGCCACTAAGTAAAGAATAATTATTAATATAGGCGTACAATAGCCTACAACAAATTTATAAAATTACTGATGAGTAAATTTAAATAGGCTATTTTATTTAATAATTGGTCATAGTAGGCTTTTTTTAGGCCCCTGCACTTGTGGGTAATTTCCAGTTTAGGTGCCCGATTTCAAATTTGTGGAATGTATTGAACATTGTGCAACTTTTGGTTGTCTAGTTTAAACACTGTCCTATCACACATAATAGATGATTTACTCTCACTCATTTTTTTTAATTACAAGATTTACTAGATATAAAAGTAAAAGAGTAAAGAAGGAAATCCCAGGCCAGTTCAATTTTCAGTGTCAAACTGAAACTGAAAAAAAAGTCCCAGTTCTTTTAGTTTAGCGGCACTAGTATACTAGTAGACTTAGACATACATTTGATACATCCATGAATTTATCTTTCGGAACAAATTCAAGAATGATGAAATATTCATTGTTCTGCCCTTTCTAAGTTTTCTTGGCTATTTTGGCTATGGGCTGCTGATAATTTATAGGTTTAATTAGAACACAGCAAAATAGTATTTACATGAAAAAAATGATTAACTTTTATGTTTATAATGCTTCAACAAAGTCTTTGGTTTGACAAATTCATACTCTACATATTGAGGCTAGTAATCATTGAACCTCAAATGATGATAAGTTATTGAGTGTTCCAACACATACCTATCCAACTAAGAAAAAAGTATAACATAAAAATAATAGGTAAATGCGAGTTAAGAAAAATATTACGCAAATAATTTTATTTACTTTTATTAAATGTCTTGAAACAATTGAATATCATCGTATGATTAATAATTATTTTAGGAGAATCGAGTTCAATGGATATTTGATCTTTGTCTCATTCTAACTTATGAAAAAAAAGACAAAATGCGATTCTCCTAACCCTATTCTCTTAGACCGTACAGCTTTAGATTTTGGAACCATTTTATCATAAAGCTTTTGAATTAAAAAAATGTCCACTATTTTGTGAAAAAAAAAAAGTGAACATAATGTAAAAAATGCGGACTGTCCGCTCAAATAGTGGACACCTGGCAACATTAACTTTAATCCCACTGACCACTGGCACTAGCCACTTTTCTGCAATCATCCCATCCAATGCCAATGACAATAACGGTATATGCAGACAATTGGAGCCATCACAAATCACACGGCCGGCTTCTTGGTTGCCACGACCTGTGAACTTTTATAATTCACTGTCACTGAACCTAACCTGAACCCTAAATGTATCCCTAAACCTAACCTGAACCTTAAATGTATCCCTAAACCTAACCTGGGTTTTGACCCAATCCACCTATCGGAAACCAGGGTTTTGACCCTATCCGCCTATCGGAACCAGGGTTTTGACTCTATCAGAACCAGGGTTTTGACCTTATCAGAACCAGGGACAAAACACGCAAATGACGTCAGGGTGCTATCTCTCCAAATTAGCTGACTTGACTTATTAATATTTATAAAAATAAAACTATAATAATAAAGTTAAAGTTATATATTCATCATAACTAAGTTAGTAACACTAACACAACTTACTCTTACTACTCTTACTAACTGAAACTCCAAACTGTAACTGTAACTGTAACTCAAATCAATTTAAAATTAGTAATTTCATATCACAATAAGTACGTTTTAATTTTAATTTAAACATTTGAATTCATTCAACAATAACAATGCATTATTAATTGCTTTGAACCTTACACTTACAGGTCCCTATAGACTATAGGCACTATAACAATAGGCCTATTAATTACTTTAGTTTCGTTATTTCAAAAACAATTCTTGGAAAGATGAGGCAGGATAAAAAAAATTTGCATTTTATTTTATTGTTTGTTCCGTATCTATCACTGCTAGCTACCTTTTTTTCCTTACTATCAATACGTAAATCAATTGATATTCACAAAAATGCTCCTATGCTTACTTCAAATGATTAGCAAGCAAAATTGAGATAACTAATTTAGTGAACAAATTTGCGTAACATTAGTAGACTAATATTAGAATAGACTTACACATTACATGTACACCATCTCAAATTTCTGAAATAAAAGAGATACAAATTGAAAAAGGTTAACCTTAAAAAGAATTTTACTATTTCTATTAGTTCTATTTATTTATTTATTTTTGTGGGGTGAGGGAAAGTGGGAATTCTAGTATTTTGATTTGCATTTTCCAAATTTATGAAGGGAGGGTCAACAAGGGGCAACCAGCACTTTCATCCGCCAATGGTCTTCCAACATTGGGGCCGTCTATAAAGTACGTCACGTCAATCTATTTTTGAACCTTATTTATTTATCCCTTTCCACCCCCGTCACATCTGTCACAAATTTCAGACCCCCACCCACTTAAACTAAAGTACATCACACTTTCGAACTAAAAATGGTTTAAAAATTAACATATAATTTTAAAATTTAATTGAAAACACACTTCACTATTAAGCGATTAAATTTATAAAAGTGACATCTATTGTCAAAATACATGCATCATAACAGAAAGTTCAACATCAATTTCGGTTGTTTTTTTTTTAATGTATATTTTTTAGAATGTATGACGTCACAAGTTCTTTACAGACCCCCCACTCCGTGTCACAAACTGTTATACTTTCTTAGACCCTCTTCTTCTCAGGAGGATGACGTACTTACTGGCCTACCCTTTGGTAGGCATATTTGATATCCCTAGTGTGTAGTAAAGGCAACCTTTGATGTTTTAAGGTTACCGCCGTGGTAAACGTAGTAGGCACAAAAAAAAAAAAAAAAAAAAAAAATTCTGGCATATCCGTCTCCACATACTACATGCTTAACTTTGTTTACGTTTACATTAAAGTCATTAATGATTGTAATTTATTAATACCACTATTATCAGCGAAGTTTTCAATTCTGTTGAGAGCTATTATTATAATCTGTATCTTTGGCTACCGTATCTTTTAAATGAAAATGAGCAAGGAAACGCGTAATTTCGGTAAGGAAAATGAAGTCGACGAATCGTACGATAGTAACGATGAAGATGATGAGACTGAGCTAGAGGAGAATATGATCACAGTTGATGAAAATGTTGGCAAGGTGAGTAGAAGAGACTAACGGCCACCAACGCTTATTGTATAATCCTCTACAGTTATTAGGCCCCATAATGTAAGTTAGCCCATAGAGTTCATAGAGTTAGAGAGTATGAGTAAGGAATGAAATAATTATTATATTATATTGAAGCTTGAAAATTGAAAAGACAGGACAATAATCAGATGTGAACAGTGGTGGACTGGGGAGTTCAAGCAGCCCGGGGAAAAAAACAAAAAAGCGGCCCGATCTTCATGAGTTTTATTTGTATTATATCACCGGTCCTAGCGGCCCATCGGGAATCTTCCCGGTGGCCCAATCCACCCCTGGATGTGAAGCCGGTAAATGCAGAAATTTAGTGCCATGACGTATCACTTGGTTGCCACGACCCATGAAAGGTCATGTGTCATGGCAACCAAGATGGCGGATGTTTAAAAAAACCTCACGTCTGCTAAAATTTGTGTGTACTGCGTGGTAAGCCCAGCCCTAGCCCTAGGCTGGACTGGGGACCACGCTATATAAAACCACTTATAGTAATAATAATAAAATGGGGAGGACAAATGGAGAAATTGTGCTGTTAATAACCTGTTTACCCTCAAACTCTTAAAATCATAACACCATCTCAAAATCATTCAATATATTATCTTAATAGTAAAAAATAATCATGGGCCTACAGTATATCAGTATATATAATGTATACATCTCAAAATCATACATTGCCAAAATGGTAAGAGTAAACAGGTCTGTAAATATTAACAGAGAGAAATGAAAATAGGACAAAAATGTTAAAATTAATGAAAAATTTCTGCCGGTACATAAATTTCATGGTGAGAGTAGCTGCTTTATTTTTATTGTATCCCTCAAGATATGCAGCAAGAAGCATCACCGACCTGCTGTCGCTTCCTTTCCCACAAGAATGTTTAGAAAATTTTTTTTTCTTTTCATTTAAACTTTAGGTCATTTGCTTTTTTAGAAATAAAAAAAAAATATTTTATTATTGAAAAATTTACATTAATCATTGAAAGAAGTTGCAGAGAATGAATATTATAAGAATTTATGTGCTTAACGGTGCTGCTCAAAAGTTCATGTGCATAATTAAAGAGAGGATATTAAAATAAAAGTTTAATTTTATGATAAGAATTAATTGTCATTTTATCATTTTAACCCACGAACTGTGGCATGCATTCATGCATCATTCTGTGGTGTGGAGCTTTTCAGAGCGTTTTGAGGGCCATTTGAAATTGCATTAAATGACATAGAAAGATTGATACAAGACACCTATAAGTATATATTTTTAGAAAGGTAAATGGTTTGGGATAAAGTTGGCCATATTGCCCACCCGTAAAAAAATTTTGCTCAGTATCCTTGACCTTGGAGTTCTCAAGAAGAAAAAAAAATCTACAATTGTCTTGCTTTCAAGTGCTCATAACATCATTAATTTTTAAAGATACACTTAAAAACTCAAATCTAAATGTTGTAGCCAATTCATTTATCTATCAGAAAATTTATAGTTTTCTAAGGTTTCTTGTGCAATTAAACCTCTGAAAGCATTTTAAGTAATTTTAGGTCATTTATTTAAGAAACTGGGACCACTGCTAAAACCAAGTACAAAATACAAAATCTCAGGCAACATAGTTATTATTGACTAGTAAACATTTAAAAAGGAACTACTGGAACTGATTTGGGTTGTTTATCTATAAAATTTATTTGTTCTGAACTATAATCTGTAGCTTCTGTGACTAAAAATCAGCCAGTCCTTGCCTAACCTTCCGGGCCTGGCTCGAAGTCTAACAGTAGCCTCAGTAGGCCTACTTCAGTATCACTAAGACTAGAATAAAATTCACGAGAAGAATAATCTCAACTGTTATCGTCATGAGGAATGTTAAAATCATCATCAATATCTCTTAAAACCTCTCCTAAAAAGCTTTCAAACATATTTCTATAGTTCTTGCACTGAAGGCCCAGCCATGGCTTCAGCTATTATAGCTTTAAAAAGAACAGCGATATAAAACTCCGACTAAAAAGTAGTTATCTTCAAGTTATCACGAAACAGCTTGAACTGGAAGATGATTTAATTATTAATAAAAGGAAGTGGCTATAATTCCGGTTAAATATTAGATTGAAAGTTGCTATCGGACCGTGTTTTTTTTATCGGCCAATTTTTTAGGCCGCCACAGTACAGAACGAGAATGTCAGTCGATTTTCTCGGCCAACCACAGTTCCTGGGTTAAGCATTTGAAAATATTTATGAATCATGTTAAAGGGTTTGTAATTTCTCAGACAGGAAAACATCATAGCGTTACTATTTTAATAACATCTGACAAATATCTCCTAAAACATTGCAGCTAATAGTGTGTTTCCGCATATCGTTTGGACGACCCTTGTATCTAGAGTCACTGTTACATGTGCCGTGCGTGCAATGAAGTCCCATTTCACAAAATAGCAGTAAATAAAATTTTGTTAAATATTTTGTAAAATATAGTTGTAAAAAAGTTTTGGTTTAGGTTAAGGACCTCTTCGCAAACGTAGTAATACTGAACAGTGTTAACATTTTGTCCGACCCAAGTACCCGGATGATTACAGCAGTTCTATTTATAGATCTCTGCCATTAAATGACAAGCCCTATAGGAAAATTATAAAGATTTTTTTTAATTTTGTAGGATAATAACAAAAACTAAAATTATAATTTGTGGCTTTATTAAGAAGAACTCATATTTAACTCACGTTTCCTGTAAATATTGTATTATATTTTGTCTCATTATATGATAAGGTTATTTGGTGTAAAAGCAAAAGCAAAATAAGGGTAATGTAATGTGGAGAAAACCCCATAGTGAAAAAATGGTTTTGAGGTCCTAACTAAAAAATTCCTAACGTTTGAACCACTTGAGCTAGAAAGTTGATCTTGGTGCTTTTGTAAACCATTCTCTATGCTCTATACAGCGGTAGTTAGTATTTTCATATTTTTACAAATGTTTTGAAATTTTCACCAAAGTGCCTTTACATAGACAAACTACTTTATTTTGCTATGCTTAATTTTATTCATTCATTTATGCAGGTTATAAATGTGGCATTTGAAGCAAGACCTCCTAATAGTTCAGATTTCCATGGAGTCAAAAGGCTTTTGCAGCAGGTTAATTTACTTAATTTAGCATTTGGGTAATTGTGTGGTTAGCGGCATGGTTTTGGCAAGAGTTATCTCAACTTAAGCACAGTGACATTATTTTGGGGAATCCCAACACTTGACTTAGTGTGAATAAGACCAACACCTTGACATGAATGATGTGTATGATAACTTTCTATTTCTTCACTGAAGCATTATTCACATCATAAAAACAATCTCGATTGATACATTTAATATTAAATGAATTAAAATGACATTATTCCATTTCTTTTTATTAAAATTCAGCTTACGAGGTTCAAAAGAAATAAAAAGAGAAACTCTAATCCCTACTGATACCCCAAGATGAACACCGGAAAAAAAGACACTTGCATTATTAATAGTTATGTCTTTTGATTAGTTGAAAGTGAAGTAACCGTATGCTATTATTTCTATAATAATGTCGCAATTTAACAAGACCTCTCACCCCACTTTCAAGACGATATGTAAAAAATGAGAAAAAACATTAATCAAATAAATACAAAGCTAGATTTTGAATTCTTTTGAAAAACTGAGCTATGACCGGTAGTTTTCCTGGGGAACATCAATGACTTAATTAGTTCATATTAGTTCATATACTGTGGAAGACATCGCAGGCCCTGTCGCTAAACTCCATTTTAGCCAGCAATTGTTTATTCATTATATAATTAATAATTATATTGATCATGTAAATGAAAGTACCACTTCTTGTATGCAAACTATCAGATGTTGGGTTATATTAGTCTACATTTATACCTCATCTATATTAATTTGTAGTTCAAATTATTGAAATGTGAACCAATTGGGTGATTCAGATTGTCATGGCACTAATATAGAGTTGATGAATCTGGCCATAGCATTTCTCCACCCAACTGTACACATACCCAACTCACAGATACCATTGGTCCAACATGCCTGTTCCGACAACAATAGTTAAATATGCAGCCCACTGTAATGTTTAATCCATTTAAGCCCATGATGGCCAAATCCAGCCACTCAACACGCTGACTGTTACACATTGCTATATAGAAAGCAGAAATCTAACCATTTAAATAAAAGTCTTGCAAGATACAAGACCAAGAGAGATCACTTTCAAATTTTTTAATTTTTCAAATATTTTATCAATCGGGCAAGCTATATGATATATATTTTCCTTCATGCAAGGCTTATTTCTTTCATTCAATCGCTCAACAACAAAAGCACCTGTCCAACTTTTTTCTGTCTAGAAGGTTAATTGTAAATGAAACTGCAACTCACAAAAAAAAAAATCTTGTGGATGACTGTATTATGTCATTGCTCTGCCAATGGGCTTTAAAAATATGACATCTTGTGATGTAATGATAAGTAGATAATAAAATCAATAACAGTGTACTTGGGGCTGGCCTTCATGTCTCATCCTAGATATTCTCTTACAGTGACGCGTTATTTTATGGTGTCCACTAAAGAGTGGGTAACACTTTTCAGCATTTTTTCCCAACCAAATCAAAGGGCTTAGATCCACAATAAATATTTGGCATAAATGAAAGAGGGGTGTTGTTATGGCTTTCTCTGAAATTCCTAATTTTTCAATAAAATGTCAAATTTTGTGAGTTCATAGTCCAATGAATTGCATTATGTTCAATGAATGAATGCATTTTTCAAATTTTGAACATATTTTACACTTTATTTTGGGATTTTTCATGTGATATTAAATAGATTTTGACAAAGATGGTTATTTTGAAACATTTTAGTTTGGGTTGTTAGGGATAGTGGAATTTAATTTAAAATAATTAAAAAGTAATAATTAGTTCAATTGTTTACAATTTATACATTTATAATTTTTAATAAAAAATTCCATTGATCAAATCCATTACCGGTACTAATTAGCAGAAAATATTAAAAGAACTGACATTATAATTCTTCTTGCCATATCTTATTTGATAAGCTGTGACAAAATCTTTGTTCATATTTTTTCATGTGGACATAATGAGCACATTTAACAAAATCATATTTAATATTTTCTTCCTAGCATTATTAAAATAGTGAAGGGTATGTTAAGTGAGAACTCATCCAGATTACCCAATAACAACAAATATTTGTCCAACTATAATGTTTATCACCTAAATTTCTTGCAGAGTCATAATTTTTTTATTAATTTTGTTTTTAAATTAGGGCTGGTTTATGTATCACTGTTAAGTCTAATCTTGCTTTCTGGTGCACACTCATCTAGTGGCGTAAGAAGGGCAGTCCCTGGCAGCACTTTTTCTTTATTTAGGGCTAGGTGATATTTTCTGTGCAAAAGATGCGAAGCCTCTAATTGGCTAAATTCTGTATTGTATCCGGGATTTAGTCTTTTATTCTGACCCAGTTAAATTGAAATTTAAGGAGCAAATGGAGTGAAGTAGGAAAAAAAACAACAAAAAAACAATTAGAGCATGGTCGTTAAAGTGCAAAATTTGAGAGATATTTGCTTTTGATGACACAGGATGACTTAAAATAACAAGCATAATGCTGGTCTTTGTGACAGCTGGAATAATATAGACCTACATTAAAACAACAAAAAAGTAAATTCTTTAGAATTCCTTGGGGCATAGACGTTAGGACCCAAAAGAAGCTGCCATTTAATAAAATTAACTTTAAATGCAGCCATTGGGATTTTATGCATATAATTGTACTGGTAAGTACAGTTTATTATAAGAATAAGTTAAAAAAATCTCTAATATTTTAATTACAATTTCGATGCTTTGGTATTATTTTGCCCCTAAGGATCTGTTAACCAAAATACATGGTTTAGTTTGGTCTTAAAGTAAATCCACCACTGTGATTATGGCTTTGAACATTATCATGTGTTTCCACTCATTGGTATGATACTTTGTCGGATTAAGGCTTTGAGGGTACAGTCAACATGGGGACTCATAGCTGTCTATTCATTTTCCATAGATGTTGACTGTAGTACGCGCATGCTGGTGCCCCATGAGGCCCATGGGCTAAAAGGATTGAACATATAGAATGACAACAATAAAGGAGACAAAATAAAGCAATGTTTGCAATTATTTATTTTAAAAAGTCAGTATTGACAAACTGTTTCTTTAGCTATTCAGTCTGGATTCTAGTTTAACTCATTGCCACAACTCACTCAACGCACCCAGGCAGCAATAAGCCTGTATTATTAATAACTTATTTTTGTGATGTGAAGCGCATCAGCACCTTTAAAAAAAATTATTTACTAAAGAAGTTTAAACAAATTAAATTAGTTTAAGTTTAATAGTTTTATATTGGTTTAATAAATATATTAAACAACATTACTATTTAGAAGCGATTTAAAATGTAAAAAATTCATAGCATTTCTCTTCGTTTTAGCACAATACTAAATTAAGATATGAGCAAAAACAAATCCTTGTATTTTGAATGTATCAAAATGAGCCCAGCCCTCCTACTCCCATTTTGTCTTTAGGACCTTTTGACCCCCTTCCTAACACCCCCCACACCCCAAATTCCATTCCATGTTGATTTAATGCATATGACAGGGACAGTGCTATTTCAAGATTTGTAATTTCCAGGTTTTACTGTGCCAAAAAGCACTATATATATTTTAAGTGTATTGTTGGGGGGTGGGGGGGGTGTTTTCAAAGTCCGCCCCAGTAGCATAATGATAATGTCATGCTACGCCACTGAACTCATGCACCACTAATTACATAGGCAAGTGGTTAGGTCCACACATTTTATGTATTACAGTAATATGTAATAATGATATCACATAAAAATTAAACACTCTCATTCTCAAAAGAGCATGTCCCACTTTCACCTCTGTTATTTAAAAATATATATAATCTTTTAATATAATTGAAACCTTTTATAATTTCATTTATGTCAGCTTTAACTCTACAAAAATCAGGATGCTGGGTGGCAAAGCAGTCCAAACTTAGTCAATCCCAAGTTTGTGGATTGGAGTTCAATTCCTAGCAAAAGTCTAGACAAGCAAAATCATCATTAGCACTACGGGTGGGTGGGACTCATTAACCTTGGATGGCAACTCATCAATCTTGCATGGTTACTCCTTATCTAAGAGAAAAAAAACTCTGAATTCAAACCCGGAAGTGGAGTCCCATAGGCGGTCTTTTCATAATGAAAATTCCGGCAACTCATATGACACCTTGGTGCCAAGCTGTATCATCCATATATGATGTTCCCTTGGTTTGTCCATATGTGTGGAGGGAGGTGATTTGTTATCTATAGAACCAGCTTATCCTTCTACATAAAAAAATCCCAGGCCTTGTGATTTCATCCTGCAAAGTCTACACCATTGTCACAATATGACAAACAGATGCCAGAAAAATCCCCACATAAATTAATGATACAAATATTTCTTATAGTATATTTCTTCTTAAAAGGAAGCTAGAATGTAAACTCTGTAGGTCATGTTTTGTTTTATTTTTTTTTAATATTTAAGTTTAAGTGGATAATGTTAAAAGATGAATCACCATAGCTCAAAGAATTTTTTTAATGTAAATTTTTTTTTATTGCAAACATTTTGACTATGCTTGGTTTTTCTTTTTTAGTTATTTGTCAAGAGCATAAATGAAGAGCTATCAGAACTGGCTGATCTGATTGTTCTACAAGATTTTGTTGGGTGTGTGCTCAAGGTGAGATTATTTCCTTTTCATAGCTTTTTTTTTTTTTTTTTTTTTTTGCTTTTTGACTTCTTTTTTAAAAAACCAAAAGTGAGTGATTAAAATTGGCCCTTTTAGCAATCAAGATTTTGTTCAGGAAATACATGATAAATTGCAAAACTAAAAATACAGATTGTTTGTATTTCCCCTTTTAAAATCATTATTTATCATATTTTAACAGCAAATAGAGCATGATAGTGACAGTGATGACAGTGACTCTGATGAAGATGGAGATGACAATGTATATGCTTTGAACACAGTCATTAACATTTCTGAACATCAGGTAATAATAATAATAACCCATATTTATGAAAGTGATTTAATTCTTTGATTTTACAGAAAACTGAGATATCAAAATAATTTGTCAATGCATGTAACTGTAAACTAAATTAGTAAATACAAATGCACCAAAGATCTCTAAATAATGCTTGGCTTGAATGGTTGTTTCAATTGATACATTTAAAACTTTTTTTTTAAAAAGATGTTTCAAAATTCATTAATGAAATTCTAAAATGATTTCAAACTAGGCCTAAATATACTTTGGCATCTAAGTTATTTTAGAAACAATAGCAGTCAATAAGGTTGTTTGTTATTTTTAAATAAGGAAATCTGGATATATTATTTGCAGAACATGGCGTGTGTGGAAAAAATCAATTCATTTTTGATGACTACATGCAAAGATAATTTTAAAACAGAACCAGACAGAATGAGAAAACTTTTAGAAGATCCATCAAAGCAAGTTGGTTTGATGTTAACAGAGAGATTCATCAACATTCCTTCAAAAGTTGCATTACCTTCTTATAGGTCCCTGAGGTATAGCTATGCTTAATAAATGTACAGTAATTACAGTTTTCTTAAAATCATATTGGACTGTGAAATTTAAATGGTTATTTTTATTTCTTGAAATTTACAATTGTGTGCCATGAAGTCTCTAAGCAAAGATACTGCCAAGTATTGTATATGTTGTATTAACTGCTGTCACTGCCTTTATTTAATAAGTCGCGGCCTCCATACAATGTTGCGGCCTTCTTACGTTGGTCTAGTCACGGCCTTCTCAATTCTTGACATGTTAGGATCTTTGTCCTTACACTTCAACAATCCCGCAGTAGTTACGTTCACTGCACAGTCAGTAGACTCCACATTGTCTAGGGGTTTACAACACTTTCCTAATATATATATATATCTATCACAACTCCAGCATGGAAATGCAACAGTTCTTTATTTACAGGATCCAATATCAATTCATAGTGACAATGTTCAATGGCGATAATACTAACTCTCAACTTGTCTCTCTCTCCTACTCTTCTCTGGACTCTGACACACCGGAACAACTATCAACCTCAACTATCCACTCTCAACTGACGATCACTTGTTTCCCTAGTTCTTCAACTCTTGGGGCAGCTAACAACTAACTCACTGTCACACGGATTATGTCTTTCTCCCCCCCCCCCCCCCCCCATCCAAGGGTCATTCAGACACAATAATATCATGCATGACACAACTCACGGACCCAAAAAGCATTCATACTAACAACAGTGATTCCCATACAACAAAACTAGTTCACAACAACTGCCATAGTCATTGTAAAGTTATGGAATCAGCAGTTTGCCCTTTGAAAGTTAGTGTTGCATTTTTAAATGTAAAATAATATTTCAATATCCCCTAGTCTTGTGTGGAGATTTGTCTATATTGACTATGTCATAAAATATTTTGTTAGTTTATATTGAAAACTTTTTATTTAATTGTTGAAGTAAATTCATAAAAACGTATCTCTTTCTTAAATCCAGGAATGACATAGAAAAAGCTGTAGCAAATAAAAAGAAGTTCCGTTTTACAAACCTCATATTAATAAGCAAGACTTACAAGCTAAAAAGTGGTCAACTGGGAGAGGAGTTACATTATTCTAATCCAGAAGAAGAGTTATTTAGTGAGGTAAGGATTGGGTATGAACTTATAGAGCTATGGAGTTAATTTTTTAAAGAATTTGTACCGGTATCTTTCAACTTTCTAATCATTCCATAAAGGGCTGCTCTACATTCCTGTTCCTGAATCTAAATGATTTATGAACATACTTTTAACTTAGAAAGATTACCATTGTCTTAGACAGTGCACCATGGTCTTAGACAGTGCACTTCACATGTGCATAGTCATAGGCATTGCACTACTAAAATAGTTAGTGGTCATTAATGTTTGTACGGGTAAACTCAAAACTCTTTAACCAATTTAGCTTTAAAAATATGTTTATAATTTCCTTTCCAAAGTGATTCATTTAAATTTAAATAATAATAGCTGGTTAAAAATACTCCCCAGATCTGTGAATTTAGTTACATCTATTCTGTTGCTGACCAGAGAGACACATTAACAGAAGGAGAGTGGGATGATGATGGAGATTATGAAGCCCTTCGTAAAGTTATGGTTTTTGATGCAAGTGCCTTGAGTCATATGATTAGTAAGCTAGAGACTGCTCAGTAATTTTACTAGGTTTACTCTTGAAATTTTATTTTTTTAAATATATAGCCTTGGGTGCTGGGATGTGAAATGAGGCAGAACATACTTCAGAGGAAAAGAGTTTCAACAGGATTATTTTTTATTAAAGGAAATTATATGAGGGACTGTTTAAAGTAAATAAACAGTGGAACAAGATATTTTTAGGCTTGAAAATAAAAGACAAGACTATTAAGTGGATGTTTCAGCTAGATGCCTTCTTCAGCAGACAGACAAATCAATACAATAAACAACAGACAAATTTAAATTAAAAATAAAACCATGTTCAGAACAGGAAACTATCTGTGGCGCGTACTATCATGGTAAAAGAATTGAAGTATTATTAATGTAAAATTTTAAACAGCAAACATTGAGAATAGAAATAGAGGGAAATAAAGGATCACTAGAGTATTTGATTGATTCCATATGGTGATATGGTGCCAAAACAACTGAATTTATTTGTTTCATTCTTGTTGGTGTAGTGATGCAAGAAATTAGAGCCATGATTAAAGAAACTAACAAAAATGTCTAAATAAACAAATCATGATAAAGTTCTTCCAGTGGATTTTTTGTTTTCTTCTTTTTCCATTGATTCAACAGTGTTTTAACGTTTTTTTTCCACAAACATGTTTTCCATGTATTCATGACTCTAACTTTGTACATGTGATTCACTTTCTTGGTCATATATTTAAAAAAAGCTGTGCTAAACCCTTTCGTTTTAAGTATTAAATCCCTCCTGTTTATTTCCAACAAAATGTGTCAGTCAATTATTAACATATTTTTAATGTTTAAGATGGAAGCGAACTTTTTATGGTACCGGTACTTACCTTAGGCTGACCTTATTTCTTTGTATACTGCGGTATTACTAGCATAGTTTTATCTGTTTCACTATAAGGAGGGTTTATTAAAAGAGCTTATCTAATTATTTCTTGCACTATATTATTCATAAAGTTTAAAGTTTCCCATTTAATTATTGTGCATTATTATGTACTTTTAGTTGTTTTATTTTGTTTCTGTATTTGTTTTAAGGGCTGAATAAATAAACTTGAAAATCAAGGTGCAAAAAGAAGTTGACTACAAATACTATGACTATAATGGAATCATTATAGATCAATTATTTTATTTCTATTTATACTGTTCGGGAGACATTTGCGTCTTAATTCACCAAAACAGTCACGTTATGAAATAGTATTATACATATCAATATATAATGATTGAGTAGTTGACTTCAAATGCTCAGGACTCACCACCATACTCTTGTTTTCAAATAATTGGAATGCTATCTTTTTAGCATTGGAATAACAAAACTATAAGATCATTAATTAAAACAACTCCATGCTACTGGTAGCGCAAAGTTATTAGATTACATGGTTATCTAGCCATTACAATATCAATAAAATACTATGAAATACTTGGGCATTTAATGGAGCTAAGTAACAATAAGTTAATGTTACTTAGCTCCATTAAATGCTTTGTATTTACACATTTCCTATTTTAGAATTTTAGGTTTAAAGTAAAAGTGTGCTGCAGAGAGTTTAAGTTTTTCACAATGTACTTGGTCTGAAGGGGATATGCCCAAGCAAGGTTTACAAATATTTTTGAAATACAAAAGTTATCTGCTTTGGGGGAGCAAAAGCTCTGCCAACAATCCTGGAATAAACTCCAGTATACTAATGCTGTGTACAAAAACAAAAGTGATCATCACTTTCCCTTTAAACACCACTACCCCCCACCCGCCCCCGCCCCCCCTGGTGTCCACTGACTAAGTCTTAATGTTTATTATTTTACTTTTTGATGTGCATACAATTTAATTTGTAAAAGAGCCAAGTTCATGGACATATCCTGATTTGTGCTCGTTCTCAGGACCAGGGAGTAAAGAAAAAGCCTATGAATCATGAAGTCTTTATCCAGCCGCAGATTACATATCTTCAGTCTGGGACCCATTCACAGAGAAGAGCATCGACAGGTTGGAGGCAATCCAGCGACAGGCAGCTCGCTTTATCCTGAACCGCTGCAGGAACACCTCAAGTGTTGGCAGCTTGCTGGAAACAAACACTGGACTGGTCATCATTGGAGGAACGACGACGATTATCCAGGCTCTCCACACTGTTCAAAATTTAAAAAATGGGCTTTTCCACTGCTTCAGCATTAATAATTAAACTCGTCCCTTTTCCTCCTAGACAGCGACGAGGCCATGGCAGGCAGTTCCGGCTCATAACATTAGGAACAGAGCATAGGAACTGCTCATTCCTCCCAAAGACAATCAAGGACTGGAACAAGCTTCCAAAAGGAACAGTTGAAGTACTTGAAGCAACAATACTTGACTTATTTGCGTCTATTGCTGCATTCCTTCTAATCCCCCAGTTCCTGATACCCTCGCCGATAAGCCCTTGAAAACGGTGAAATGTCCTCTTCAATACCTAATAGCAATATCAGGCACAGACATATCACGGAACCCCCACCCCCCAAACCACACACACGCATAAATAGGAGCCAAAATGGTAAATACCCGGTACATTGATTGTGGGCCCTCAAAATAGAAGAAGAAGAAAATAGGATTAATCTTAAATTTAAATAAATAGATAGTTAATGAAATGATCTATATTTTACTCTGAAAATGAACGAAATACTGCAATAATTCATTTTATGAAGATTACTGTTATAAAATATTTATATTCACTGGCATTTTAAGATAGGTTTATGAGGAAAAATACAATTTGGGGGACATATTCTATAGGCCTACTTAAAGACTACATAGCTCAACACACATTTCAAGTCGTTTGTAACTAGCCAAAACGGGGGCATTTAAATATATATATATATATATATTATATATGTAGCCGTGTGGTGACGTAGCTTACAGTGTAAATGAAATCACAATAAAACAATCAGGTCTGAGAACTATAGCTTTTAATGTAAGGTACAATCCGTTGACAGAGCCGACAGGAAAATCTCTCACACATGCCGCGCCGACCCGACGCATCCGTTCCACACCACAATCTCAAAGATGTACACACCTCATGTACACACCTCAAGTCCCAGTTCGCCCCCCCCCCACACACACACACAGTAACAGGGAACCCGCGTCCGAGCTGACCATGGGTCAACCCCGGGGCAGGGATGGTTATTCCCGCGTGTAAATAACCAACATAAAATTTAAGGCCAGTAGGCTACATGGCTGTGTGTTACTTTAAATGACCATGGATGTGTCCGTGCTTGGGGTTACCCATAGCAGTCACACTATGACTATGAGAGTGGATTCTCTTATTCCTATCTGCTCCATACTGCCGCATATAAAATGTTACCTAAAAGCAGTTGCAAATAGTGGCACATTGCCACATATATATGCATAAGCCATATTGAATTTAGGCTCCTTGAACATTTTTGCATAACGGTATATCCGTTCCCCAAATGGTGGTCCACGAGCCTAACGTTGCCGGCCCGTACAACATCTATTTATGGTCAAATGAAAAGAAAATATAATTAATAAATTTGGCAACGTTTTCTGGTGGAATTTTGAAGTTTGGGAAACGCTAGTTTATTATTGTGTACAGCAATTAGGGCAAATTTATTGATGTCCTATTTGGTTAATCAATCCCCTCAGTCACCTATTTTGATAGTAAATAGGCCTATACCAGCCAGGCTTTCCGCATTCCGCACCTGGTGTGCTTGCAACAGGGGGTTCGAGGTGACATTTCAGGAGGTGCGAAGAAAAGGGATTAAAATTATAAGAAAAGACATGATTAGCTTTTAGTTTTAGTTATATGATGATGATGATTGAGTACTTTTATAACGCTTGTGGCCATGCTCACGACGCTCTGGTGTCCTAAAATCTTTCTTTCTTTTTTTTAAAGCCTTACTTTAAATGATTCTTAAATGACTTTTTATCGTTTTCAATGTCCCTCGAAGATTGAGGTAAACTGTTCCACAATTTAGGTGCAATAGCCTAAAAAGATCGCACCCTGTATGACTTCTCATGTGTCTATCCACACTGGGAACTCCCAGTAAGAACTATTTTTTTTAATTTGAAGTGGAATAGAGCGCAGGTTCTGTATGGATACATTTTTAGAAATCAGTTTTCGAAGATATACTGGTGTAGTAGTCTTCAGCTTTAGGCCTACATCAGGGACATAATATTATTTTGTACAGGAGAGGTATCAGACGAGAAACGAAGATCAAGGTCTATAGCGCAGCAGTTCTCGACATTGCTCTACAGATGTGAAACGTGGACAGTCTACCAGCGTCACGCAAAGAAACTGTTTGCAGATGACACAGCAGTGTATAGGACGATCGCCAACAGATCTGACCAGGACCAGCTACAACAGGATCTCAATCTGTTAGCTGAGTGGGAGATGAGCTGGGACATGGAATTTCATCCTGCCAAGTGCCAGACACTATCAATCTCTAGAAGTTGTACTCCTCTACACTACCAATACAAACTGCACGGCCATATTCTTGAGCAAGTTTCCTCCGTAAAGTACCTAGGTGTTACCATTCAAAGAGAGGTCCGCTGGGACGAGCATATTAACAATGTATGTAACCAAGCAAACCAA